TGAAAATGATAACATAGAGCTGGTAACAAAACCGTTAATACGACTAACATTCACGATTCAATGAGGGACCATCATCCTTTTTGAATTATTTGCAAGTGCATATTTAAAATAACGGGGAAATTAACTCATAAAGTGGGTGGGGACCATATTCTTAGCATATTCCCATTTTTAGCTTATTCCTAAAAAGCGACGAATGGGCGCACTTTTGGTCTCAAGTGAGAGAATCAAACCCTAAAGTATCCGCCAGGATTCTCTGAACATGGTTCGCCACATCAATGGACTTTGACTTTCCCTGGATGAACACAAGCTAGTCCAAGAACGTTACCTCGAGCATACCACATGGCACAGAGAAGGGCACTCGCGATTCCATAGATACCTTGTATCTGTGATCACCTTTTGTTACCACCTTTTAACTCACATCCACATCAAAAAATAGTAGGATTTCGGTTATAGTATGGACATCCAATCTGCTACGTAAAATACAATTATTTAAGAAAAATTATATAAAAACTAAAAAACTAGTAGAAATAATTGGAAATGTTCATATAAATTTTGCCCATCAGTATTCCACTGATTTACTTTTTGAGAATTGTACGTCTATTTTCTTTGTTTTTCTTTTAGCATGTGAAATCTAGCTGTCGTCGATTAATTTTAAGCTTATGATCATATGCTTTCAGAATCTTACAACACATTTGGGAGATTTTAATCGGTGTTTAAGTTAGTAAAATGAAGCTAAGACATGGAAATGATCAACACGTACATATGATCAAATGAAGTTACTAATTACTTCAATATAATGCTACTGTGCTCTCTTAGAGAGTTGTATCAATACAAAGAGAAATGGAATCAGGGGTAAATTAATTTACCAAGATTTGTTTTCGGAATTTCTCCGGACAGTGGATCCAAGACGGATGCAGGGCACATCGTTTGTAGAAACGTGATAAATAGTCGCTTCATATCCTACAATAACGAGTTTTGTTTCGCTTTTTGTGATCATTGTTGACCAAAACATTGTTTGCTCAAATGTTTTTGCCACGTTATTAGTATTTTATTTTATTTTGGAAAACTTTCATTTATTTAAAATTTTGGGAAACCTAAGAGCAATAAGAACTTTTTTTTTTGTTAAAGTAAGAGCAATAAGAACTTAAGTGCAAATATTAAACCATTGAAACAACCAAAAGATACCAAAAACCTATAAACAAGCCCAAATCACTCAAATCAATAAACTTCGAGAAAATGTGAAATTACAAAAAAAAAAAAAAAAAAAAAAAAAAAAAAAAAAAAATTGTTTATTAGTTTGACTTATGACCTTTTCCCATCACTGGAGAGTCATTTAAGTTTGAAACTAAGTTAAGTGACAGGCATGAGGCATTACTCATCGGAAAGAATCACAACAGTAATTGTATAATTCACGAGGGACCTAAGTATACAATGCACAGTAGTCGTATAAGTTACAACATTTGGCAAATGCATATTAAAATAAAAATGAAATGTTCTAGTTTCTTAATTATAAGTTTATAATAGCAAAACTACATGTTTTTTATTCGTAATGATATCTAGTTCTTGGGGTTATAACTTATTTAGGAATCATCTGCTTAGCTTATTCCTGAGATCGTCACAATTTTGGTTTTACGTAAGATACTTGTACTTATCCTTCTTCGTCAAGTTAGTGCACTCGAACCCTAACGTATCCGCAATGATTCTCTGAACATGGTTCGCCACATCATACGGACTTTTCCCGGACGAACATGTGTCCTCAATGGGAAGCTGCTTCAAGAACGTAATCTCGAACACGATTCTTGGGTTCATGAACTCGAAAATCAAATCCAGACCATTAAGAAGTGATTCACACTCAAGATCCAACATCACAACGCATGATCTGACCTTAGCTACGGTATCAAGGATCGAGGTCCTTTTGGAATAGGAGCGACTAGATGTGTCAACTAAATTCTCAAATGATGATACAATTAACTTAAATACTTCCTGCACATGAATAGAAGAAAGAATCAGCCACCAAATCCACCTTCATATCCATTTCCTGAATAAAAGTCAGCAAACAATAACATACCTTCATCTGTTCATCATCATAAGGAGCCTCCGGAGCAGTTATCCTTGTGATCTCACTGATGCAGGCAGCGACTGAGACTTTCACATCGTCGTCTGAATGCTTGAAGAGTTTTCGAGCGACTAATGCTTTCGTCAAAGGAGAGAGTGCGTTCTGCATTGAATCGGGAGGTGACTGCTCGACCTCTGCCAGGCTGAGGAAAAGTTTCTGCAGCAAAGTTTCACAAAAGGAATATCAATCTCAAATGCTCCAAAATTTGAAAACAGATTGATTCACACAAAAATCAATTAGTGAAACAATGGGGCCAATGTCATTCTTCAACACTATTATGCAGATTTAGATTAACAGTTATCACGGCAAAGGAGTCCTACAATGTTAGATTCGCAGAGCTTAATGAAGGGAAAAGCAATCAACCATAAGAGAAACGATACAGAGCAAGAGTTAAATCCTAATCCAGAAATCCACACTAAACACATGCACCCACTTAGCAATGCGCGATTTTGAAGAAGAAAACAAAAAAAAAAACAGATACAAGGGAATGGTCAAGGAGCTTACATCAAGGAGAGAAAGAAGCTCATCGACTGAAGAAGGCGGGTTAATTAGCTTTTCCCCAGCTTCCAGAATCTGATTCTCGAGAGTTTTATCAGAATCCGACATGACTCCCCTCTCCTTCCTTTCTCTCTCTCTCTCTCTCGTTCGCTCTTCGTGCGTATCTACAATTAGATCTCTACAAAAACTAGATTCGGAACAAAGAGAATTCTCAGCACGAAAAAACTAAAGCTCGCATCGATTGTAGAAATGGGATTAGACGAGAAGATGGATTAGGCGAAGAAACAACGAGAAATTCCCCCAAAGTCACTGAGGAACACGCTAGGGTTTTCTCTCTATTTTTTTTTCCCCTTCTCTCAATCTTAACTGTTTACATAAAACCAGAAAAATAAAATAAAAAGTAAAGAAATTTTCTCAGACGCGAGAACCCTCAGCGCCGTTAAAAAGGATTTATATAATCTAGAAAAAAAAAATTGGAAGTATTTAAGTTTTAGACTTTAGTGTACGGCAATTTAATAACTGGTCGTCTTTTTGAAGATGTGTTTCTAATTTTTATTTAATTTCTTTCTCTTTTTTGGGACTATTTAAAAAGAGAATCCAAAAATCAAGGGAATCCAGTTTTGTGAATTTTTTTTTCGCCTTTCCCCGGAATTCACCTTAGATTTATTTACTCAGGTTAGCTTATTAACTGGCTTTCAAGTCCGCTTTTGAATTATTTCCGAGTATTTTTCGAGAAAATGGTGGCCTTGTTCTCATTAACCAAAAAATATAAGCTCAGACGAAAATTTACCAAGGTACTATTGGATAAAATCGTGTGAAAGAAACATAGATCGTTAAAATTTGTCTCCTTAACAGATTTAAGAAACAATCCACAACGGTTTAGATCACTTCAGCATGAGATTTGGATACAATAAGAGTTAAAGACTTCGTACTGGATACTGAATTTAAAACATGATCTAATACTATACTTTTTGTTCTATTATTGGTCGCTATATTTTCATCTACCGATTTTATATAGAGAAATTTTTCTCAAGATATACTCAAAAACCCATATTAGTTCTTAAAAACTAATTTCGGTTGTTTTTTTCATGCTGAAATATGTCTCTGTAATGGATGAATTTGTTCGTGAGGAGTACTCTAGTTTCTCTCCACCGGTGCCTCATCTAAGTGAAGTGGTGGCACTCAAGGGCGAGATCTCAACAATGTCTCGGCTTATGACTCAAATCTAGCCCAATAGTTTAGGACTGGGTCAATTCAAAAACGCAGAATATTAAGATACTAATGGGTCAATTTCAAGGTCGGCCCAAATTCGAAAACCGCGCATCATGGGAGTGTTGTATATTGATATGAACCAATGACGGAGAACCATGTCATCACTATTACACGTGTCAAATGTAGTAAAAGTGTAAAACGACCAAATTAAACTCAACTACCAGTCTACTACACGAGACTACCTCACAATGAGACAACACTGATTTATGGTGGTTGAAAGATCCATCTAAGAGTTCAGATGGGAGACAATGATTCGAGTTCGCTGTTGTCTTGTAGGATTAATCTTAGTTTTAATGCTGAACCTTCAAATATCAACATATGTAAAATAAAATATTCATAAGACAACGTATTGGCGGTGGCTCTGAAGGCTATTTTTTTTCTTGGTGAAGTCTTTGGGAATTTTTTGAGTTCACATTCCCTCGGAAAAAGACGACGACCAAATTACCTTTAGCTGTTATAGACTTTTTTTTTACTTTAAATGCTGTTTCATAGAGAACCACTCTATTGCAACATTAATGCATTCATATTAATGTGTCGCGAACACACTTAGATTAATGTGTCACGTCTTGTACACCTACATGTAGGTGTCATATTAGCCCTCCTTACCATTCAATTCTGCAAAATTTTCACTATCTCCTACTCGTTGTGTTACCAAAGTAAACTTACGTACCATTAGCCTAGTTTTGGAGTCTCAAAATTGCCATAATTATTTGGAAATTAAATGGTTATAGATATATCCGATGTCCACATATGAGAAATGAAATGGTAATAGATATGTCTGATGTCCATATAATAGATGGCGAATGCAGCTTCTAGAAGCCAAAGAAGATTAGAAGAGTGTTTTTCTTAACATTAGATCATAGCAACCCAAATAAAAATAGACTGCCTTTAATGAAAGCGGTCACACTCCCACTCTCACATGCACCATCCCACCTTTCATTTATATTGTTAATTATTAAGCTGTGTACCTTTTCAAATTTGGGACCATCCTTAATAGAGTTTTAACAAAGTATATATACATCGATGATGATTCCAAGTAATATAAGCATACGCTTCCAAGAAATTATAACATACTCATAAGTCATAACTAAGCCAGAAAAAAGGATATTTATTTACACCATATAATAAGAGTACAAAGCTGATAAAACTGGTTGAAGTAAAAGCTAACAAAGCGCATACCTTTAATTATAACATACCTTTTACACTAAGCCTAGCAAACCTAGTGGGTATTTTTACTTTTAACAAAACCACTAACCAAAAAGAAGAAGAAAAAGGTAACTCCACATGGACAAACACAACGACACATCGTACGTCGAGTACACTATGCATCATATTAGATTGTGTCTGTGGACTTTTGTCGCATATCTCAGAAGCTGATGAGATCTGTCGAAGCAACACGTCTTCTTTGTTTTTATCTCCTCTCGTTAAATCAGCTCATAGGTTATTTTTTCCACCTTCACTATTTGTAGAAATGCTTCATGATGACACCTACAAGACGTGATGCTTGGTTATACTACATTTATTAAAAACTCTAGCTACAAAGCAAAACAATAAAAAACAAATGTAGTTGGATCCACAGATCTAATTCTCCACGCCGCCACATTGTTTATTCAAGCAAACTCTATATTCTACTAAGAAAATAACAGCACAAGCCATAAACTAGTGTTTTCAAAAGATTCGCAAAGAAAAGAAAAACGAAATATATTTTACAGAGACAAAAGAAAAAATCAAATTAAATGCAAACAATCAAAGCAAAGGCAAAAGTGGACCAAGCCATACTTGAAAAGGAAGAAAATCACCGACACTTTAGTTAAGGAAGATGGGCGATTTGGTAATTTAAAGATTCGAGCTATGTGGGTGGGTCTAAAGAAACTGGCCAAGTGCATGTGAGAGACTAAGTCAATGCCCACTAATCTTCCACGAATTTACATTCGATGCCACTGTCAGTCAGTGAGAGACAGAGCATCAAACCAAAGCCTTGGGAAGAAAGTTAACTAAACTTATCAAACAGACAAACAACTTAACTTAATACTATAAGTCTATAATCACCAAATTGACTAATCAATCATACAAAAGACTTACATTTTTCAAAAGGGGAGGCTCTTTGAAGTGGAGCTCACAGAGAGCGACTTAAAATGCTCTGAAGGAACAAAGTCTTGTGGCAAATTAGCTCTCTTCACGATCCTCTTCATATTGCTCTGTAAACTCTGTTGCACCAACTGCTTCACAGCTTTCCTCTCTTCGCTCATCATCGAATCGCTTTCCTCATGGTCCAAACCATTCCCTCTGGTCCCATAGATTGGTGCAGACAAAGCACCGCATGATCCGGTACTATCCAAGACTTGCTTCCCTTTGTCCACTCTAAGACATTCCAATATCTTCGAGGCTCTCTTCTGAGCCAATGCACTTCCCAAGAGAGTTAACTCGAGCAGCGACGATTCGATCCCGGCCTCGATCATCGCTTGTCGATCACCATATCCCTTGTGAGCCATCAGCATTAGAATGTAAGTCGCCTTTTCTTGGCATCCAGGCGAGTCGGTCCAGTTTAGCACATCGACTAAAACCGGAAACGCGTCGCAAACCGAACCGATCGCTTTCCTTCCTTCTGGAGCCGCAACAACATTGCTCAAGATGGCGAGAATCCTCTCGCTCACTTCCATATCTCCTAACGCGCTCATGAGAAACGTGATTAGCTCGGTCTCGAGGATGAATGAGACGTTTGGCTGGTAGATTGAGAGGTTGTAGAGAGCTCTTAGTGCGTCTTCTCTTGCTTGTGAGCTGCTTCTTTCGTCCAGATTCTGGAGAGTTTTCACTAGGAAGATTATCGCTCCTGAAGAACCGATGATTGGTTTGTTTGAGTCCAAAGCGCTTAAGCCTAGGAAATTAGCGACCACAGCTTCTGCGATGGCTTGATCGGGAGTGTTTGGAGACTCGATTAGCTTCAGCATTTTGTGAACAGCGCCTGCTTTAACAATCGCTGCTTTGTTCCTGCAAAAGAATTAGAACAAAAAAGAGATTTCTTCAGAATCAGTGAAAGGTCTTAAATTGGTAAAAAGATTGAAATAAATGTTTCGAATGTTCATATTATAAAAAAAAAGAAGCATGGAAAGTGACTCAACGGATGAAACCAATTCAATTTTTGGCCGACAAAAATAATTTCGCCAAAACAAACAAACAGAGACGAAAAGGTTCGCTTAAAAACAAACGAACATTAACAACTACAATGGCTAAAAAAATCCGGGAAAATCAAAATCGTTTTTTTTTTTTTTCCAATGAAAAGCGAAGAGTAGTTGAAATATAATCAAAATCAGGATGGTGATTTGAATTGGGACTCACGCGTCGTTTCCGATGCCGAGATTGAGCAGAGCGTAAAGCGAAGCGATCTGTGCGTCTGCGATTCGTGAGTCGTCGATCATACTAACTAGCGGCGGAATCGCGCCGAGCATCGCCAGCGTCACTCTCGCCTCCGAGTCCTCCTTCGCCAGCAACCGCACCTCACTCGCCGCCGCTAACTTCTTCTGACAGACTCCGCCGTCTAACTCTTCATCTCCACGCGCCGCCGCGGCCGCTTGTAACTTACTCACCACGCGCTTCAGCAACTCGAGCGCTTCCTCCTTGTTCTTCGTCTCCACGTCAGCTTCCAACTCCGCTAGATTCAACAGATCACAGAGCTTCTCCGATTTCTTCGCTTTCTCCTCGAACGTTGCGCCGTTCAACGCCGCCCCGATCGTGTTGGGTTTCGCAGCCCTCGGTGCGGCCGCTGACTTCTCCGACACCGTCACGTAACTTTTCTCGTCGTCCTCTTCCCGGAGCTCGTGACGGTAACGTGAGCTACCGCCGCAGCTGACGGCGTCGACGATTTTTCTGCGGAATGCGGATCTAGAGAAGGTGCTCCAGAGCCGGAAATGGTTGCCGGAAGTAGAGGAAGAAGTGGTGGGAGCACGGTCAAGAATGAGAGATCCGATGTTGTTCCGGTGACACTTGGCCATTGTTATCTTCGAATCCGATCAGTTCTTTGAGCTAAACCTACATTTGCACGAGCCAGAAGAGTGCGGAAGAAGATTTTTGTTCTTTCGTTTTTTGAGAAGAGAGTTTAATTTTTTTTTTTTTTTTATTTGGAAGCCGAAAACAGAGGAAACTAAAAAATGAACATCGAGATTAGCGAAATGTTGACTGTTGATTTATTCTTCTTCCTTCTTGGTTTACCCTAAGAGTTTAAGGCAGTGTTTGGATACAACCATTAAATAGACCGCGGATAGGTTTTCATATCATGAATTAAATATTTAATTTTGTTTTTTTTATCTGTCAATTTACTTGAAAGTTTGTAGGTGTTCAAAACTTCAAATGGATTTTAGTTCGGTTTAAGTTTCTATAATTCTCTTTTTAGAGAATAGATAATTTGTATTCGGTTTTTCGGATTTGGAAAGGATAAATTCAGTTAACCATACTAATATGTTATTCAGTGCTCGGGTTGCTTAATTTGGTTTAGTGCAGATTGAATCAATCTTTCGGATTAAACACTTCTAAACAATACCTTAACCTTAAGTAGGTATGTGATGGCTCATAGTTACTTTTTCTTTACTTTACTGTCGTACGACAACTTCTTGCGGACACAGAGCCGTGCTTATGCACAATAAAAAAGTGCATTTGCACTGAGCCCCTAAAATATATAATTTATAGAGGCTCCCACTTTTTTTTGTGTGGTAAAAATGTTAAAATTTTATACATTTTTCAAGTTTTACATGTTGCAAAGCCCCCAATTTATTAAAATTTATTGTATCATAGTAGTTTGGAATGTCAATATAAAGTCTCTAACCCGAGTTCAAGGTATAATTATATCCTTTTCTGTTTGTTTTTTTTCGTTTGTGTCCTTTCATAACATTTAATAAAAGAAAAAGTTATATTAAAAAGTCCTCCATTTTTAAATTTGCCATGAGCCTCGATTAACCTTCGCACGGCACTGTGCGGACATTGCTGTCTTCAGAGTATTGACTATTTTCAAAAAGGCAACAATTAGTTCGGAAAAATTAAAAATAGGAAGAAAAATGAAAGAGAACAAGAGAGATATTGAAGAGAATGGTGAGGCCATCACTGATTTCAACCGTTCAGATTTACTAATGTGTCAGGGAAGCTTCTACACAAGTCCCATCGTGTTAAATTGCTATTATTGAGGGTAAACTTCTTTGTTTTTTTTAAATACGAGCGACATTTTACGATTTGTTTTCCAAAAATATCACAACTTTCTAAAACATACAGATATACGATATAAATATAGATTTATACATACACATATGTAAAACTTGAGCATGTTTATTGGTGAAACCCAAAATATCTCTTAGAATTATAATAACAATATATTTATATTAAGAGACATTGTTAAGAGACGTATGTTTTTGCATCAATTATTGGTAAAACTTCGGAAGGTTCTTAACTTTTTTTTTTAATTAAGTTTATTTATATATAAAAAGATGAAATAAAAACATAGTTTCACATAAAAACAATTTAAACATAACTTTTAAAACCTTAAACATGAAAGAAAAATTTAAATGTCATCCTCATAATCATCATCATTGATTTATCTTTGTGTATATGGTTTTAAAGCAAGATACAAAAACTTGAAACAAAGGCCTGATGCTTATGCAAAATTTTAAAACTAAATTTGCAGGTATCAAAAGGTAAAAAAGTGGTAATGATGAAGATGCTACTCGATGGATTTGAAGACAAGGTCAAAGTCTGGAGGAAATGATCGTAAGAACAATCAATAAGAACCAATTTTTCATAAGATAGCCTTATCATGAAAATATTAAGTAATTCAAATACATAACAGAGTCTCTGCTGGCCAGGTCGCTCTTTCCGGTTACTAGTTCACGAGTTTTGGGTTTTATCTTTTGAGGGGTTTGGTGCTTCTGCTGCTCTCCTTTCCATCTTCAGTCTTTGGCCTTGCTTTCGGGACGCCTCTGTGAAAAGTTCTTGCTGTGGAGGTATCTACTTGGCTCATTCTCCCTTTCTTCTTTGTTTGGGTGTGGGTTCTTTGACGATGCAGCGGTTTCCGATCTACAAGTCTTCTCTTGCGAGGAGGTGGGAGTCTCTGTTCTGTAGGTCGCAGAGACTGGTATTCACAGTGTCCGCGTGTAAGAGTTGTTGATCTTCTCAGGCGTTTTCCCAGGTGGCTTCTTTTCTTACCGGTTTTGGAGCCTTTGTTGTTGTGCTGGCTTTCCTCTGTCGCTCTGTGGTTTGCAGTAGTTTCTGGTCTTGGGGTTGGTGTGGTCGAGTGTTCTTTGTTGCGCTCGTTTGTGCGCTTTCGCAGTCTTTGTTACTGCTTTGGCTTGGAGTAATTTTCCCTTGAAGGTTTTGGGTTTGCTCAAGTCGTGGTCAGGGTTTGGGATCCGGTCTTCTTCAGTTCCAGATTCAGTACCTCTCTGTCATTAGCTAAGTTCCCTGCTCGTTTTATTATCGCCTTGCCTCCCTTGTTTGGGCTTATGTCTCCTTTGTTTAGGCTAATGTTTCCCTATTATGGGACTTTGTCTCCGGGGATTTATCTTCCTTCTGCCGGCTTTGTCCTCTGTTTTGTGTGTTCTTCCTTCCGTTTGGAAGGTTAATAAAAGTTTAGATGAAAAAAAAAAAATCATAATCAAACACTTGTTTTGTTGCCTATCAAGTGATGAAGAAAGAAACCAGCAACAACACTCACGTTCAAGCTCTCCACAGCAACAAAAGATCTGAAGCCTTCACCTTCTCCATCATCATACTCTGTAAACATTTATTCTGATTTCTGAGTCACTTCTTCAAAATGTTCTTTGTGAATATTTCTTGCTGCTGTAAACCTTCTAAATCTGTTCTGTACCTCAAGCACAAATGAGCTACCATCTGATCTTGCAAACACACTGGTAGGTAGTTCCTCTGACCAAACCCTGAGGCATCTTGAATGGTATCTCTCTGAAACAACTCGAAAATGCACCAAAACTCAGTTATACCATTTTTGACATTAGCAAATACTGCACCTGTAAACAGAAACTTACGAATCTATCAACAAGTCTCTCATGTTGTGCTCCAACAGAGTTTGCTTGCTGCCCTGACCCAGCAGATTCATTCTTCTTCCACAAATGATGCTCCTCATTCTTCCCCGTTGTCTTTACTTCCTTCCTACAATATCCACACACATAAAAACTAACTAATGAATCAATCAAGACAATGATTATTCAAGAGAGATATGGAATCAAAATGCACATTGTAATGGTTCTTTAGAACGCAGCTAAAACCAAGGATGTTTCCTCTCATTAGCTAAACTACTTAACACATACTCTAACAATCTCCAATCTCCAAGCATACAAATCAATCAACGGTGTCTGAAATAAAAACAAATGATGCCAAAACACATACCTACGAACAGCAAGACCACCGAGAAGCTTGTAGCGGAGAGACACAAATCGACCACAGCCACCACCAAATCGTCCACCACCGCCGCCACCACCAAATCGTCCTCCTCTTCCACCAAAACGACCGTCGCCGCCGTCTCTTCCTCCCTTCCCTGAACCCGCCGCCAAAAAAACCAAATCGAGGGTTCAATTCGAACAAGAAGGCATTCGCGCGAATCGCCTCAGAGAACGAAGAAGAATGAGAGAGAAAAAAAAAAAAAAATCTTGTTTAAAGCTCGGTCCTAAATTGGACACGTGGCTCTAACAAACGTCCCTTAAAACTTTCCAACTTCCCTTATATAAGAGACGTTTTTAACTAAATTATGCCTTTTTCATTTATTTTAAATGCTATTTACACTAAGAGATGTAGCAAAAGTAACACCAATAAATATGCTCTTATATTCATCAGACGGAGTGGATAGCCAGTGGAAGTATTGGAGAATTATTTAGCTGCGTTGTTTTCTCACACCACTATCTCATTTTCCCAAACCCTTCTACTGGAGCGCACTCAACCCCATTATACTCACTCACCGAAAACACTTTTTGATTAATATCTTCTCTAAAACTTATCAGAATCAACTAAACTTCACCCATGATGAGTATCTATCCATCCAGATAATAGTAATGTAGTTTATCAATGACATGCTAAGCTCTAGGTCTAATTCTGAGCTTTCTTCGTGGACACAAGCTACAAGATACTTACATTTTCGTGGATACAAGTTACAACTATCTTATAATTTGGTATGTGTAACTTTTTTTTTGGTTAAAGATGTGTAACTTTTTCGTTTGAGCAATTAATAAGATAATAATACAAAGTAAACGGTAGAACATTCCACATGCTCTTCTTTCAAGCTATATTGTACGAGATCTGACGGCACCGCACCTCAAGACTGCATCATTCCGAGCAAGCCGACAGTCGTACTCACATATCTGACGACACTAATTTCTATCTTTAAAGAAAATATTTAAACTCTCTCACTTTGGTTTCTCTCCTTCATGATGAATGAATTCTCTATGAGGAGTGTTTGATGCAAATTCTAAGAAAATATTCAAAACACTTTTGAAAACTATATTTCATGATTGCATAAATTTTGCCAAAATCCTTTAATGTTCACATATTTTGCTGATATGTCAAAGGCAACAAACATTTTTTATCTAAATGGATATAATTATTCGATTTTTGGCTTTTAATCTGATTTATCGTTTTACAAGTTTATGTATTAGTCTGGTACTATATACTAATACTATAGGAAAAAAAAATCTCAAGTAAAACTCGATGGGTGGGCGTACGGTAAGGCGAAGGGCGAGCCGTAGCCGATCAGGGTCATCCTGAATCTGAAACATGATTAAGGTCACCAAAGCACGTGGAAGCTTTGTCTGACTAAAGGAGAAGTACATTGAATAGATCGTTGTTACTAGTGAACGCCTCACTCTTCCTATTTACCAAAGTCAAGTATATACGATAATCATTTTTTTGGAAAACTTCAAAACATATACTCCTAGAATAAATTAAAAACATACACAAAATATAGTACTTCCGTTGAGTTAGCTACTTATCATATTTTCCTATTTATGCACATGTGAAAGTGAAGTTAACCAAGAGAATGATCTTTAACAAAAAAAAAGTTAACCAAGAGAATGATAGGGAAACATTAAAAGAAAAACGGAATGCTTTCATTGAGAGTTGAACTCAAGACCTCCCGCTTACTAAACGGGTGCTCTAACCAACTGAGCTATGAAAGCTTTTGTACTAGCTTCCAACGTAAAACATATATCACAGCATCGAGACGCTGGATCTATATATTATACCACGACTTAAGTTTGGTTTATTTTCCTTGATATGAAATTGATTGCTGATTATGTAACATGGGCTGTGCCCAACAAGCATTAAGGCTTGGCTGGGCTTGTATTTTTCTTCTTTTTCTCATGCATTTAATATACAAACCTTTGTTAAGAAAATAAAATCCAACAACCGCAAAAGAATCCGACAAGTGTCTGTAAAGGAAATCTCTAGCAAATTAGTAACGGACGTTACGGAACCCCTTGTTTTGGTTCACTCGAAGTGTGCATGTACCATCACTACATTTCCTTTTTGTTGTTGTTTTTTTCTTTCTACACACTTTCCATTTGCACGCTTTTCAAACACGCCATTCTTTTCAAGAAACAAATACCATCTGTGTAATTATTTTTTACATTTATAGTTTCATATTATATAATTTGTTTCTATATTTTCAAGCAAATCTTCTTAGAAACTTAGGAAATAATTCCCTGGACCAATTTTTCCTGGTCAACTGTTCAGACAATAAATGTTAAATCAAAATTTCAACAAATTATTTCCAAAACATATAGAATATTAATTTTGTTTACAAAATAATACATAGACCATATTTTTTTTAATTAGTTTACTAATTTATATTTTGACCCTTTTTCTTAACCTTTGTAACATAAATTAATAAGATATTACAAATTGTTTTATTTTTATTTTTGAAGAAAACATATTAAATATGAAATGAATAGTTACCACTCATTCCGTGAAAAATATAAGATTAAGAAGAATAATCACCACACTCTCTCTCTCTTTATATAAACGTGTTAATCGAAGCGGTAAGAAGCACTTTTGCATTTGCAGCATTTCCTAGGCTCCTCCGTCGTCTTCGATTTTCTAGGGTTTCTGAGATCTTTCTCGGACAACAAAATCCGACAGTCGAAGGTTGATCCTCTCTCGTATTCACTGCCGCCTTTATTTACTCTATTTCACTCAACACAATCTCGAGAACATCTTGTGTTGTTGACTTGTTGTTCTTTTTATTTCCCGAATCTTAATCGTTAAACAAAGTAGAAAGGTGCGGTGTTCAATTGATTTTCGTATTTTTTTGTCGACGTTGAATCTGAAAATTTAGGGTTTCGTTATTCTCATACAACACAGCCCAGCTCAAACGTTCAAATATGAAATTTCAGAGAGATGTGTACGAGAATGCATCTCGAGTTCTGTGTTTAGAATATGGAATTTCGATGAGATTTAAAGTTGATGATTATTGAAACGATAAAACCTTTTTTGTTTGGGTTTGAAGGACTCACCGAATTTCCGTTGATCTTCCCGCTTAGGTATTTGAATTTCATTAATTTCATCATAATCGTGTAATACCGTTTTTTTTTTTTTTAGTCAAATACACACTGATCAGGATCTTAAACATCTGTTTGAGGGGGTAGATATTTGCTATATGGTGTTTGTTACAAAATGATCTCAAATTGTAGCAAACGATTTTAAAAGAATCGTAGTTTTTGTTTCACTCTTTAATCTAGGGGATTGTTACGCTTATGTCTACGCGATGTTGAATTTTTATTGACTGGAAACATTTGTTGCGGTGTTCTCTTACAGAGAAATGGCTAGCTTGATTGGGAGGTTACGTGCACGACCAGACAGTGGACCTGATTATACCGTAGATGATTCTGATGAAGAAGAATTTCTTCTAGGAATGGATCAGACCACTGGACAGCCTGAAGGAATAGTCGGAGGCGAAGAGGTTTGTCTCTGTCTAATATTGTGCAAAACATTTACTGTTTCGGGACTTGTTTCTCTGTCTAATTATGAGATTTAATTTGTAATCCGTTTCGTTGCTGGAGCACATTAACTTCCTTTTAGTGGTTTATCTGAATGTACACTTGCACAAAAACTCTATACATAACATGTTACATGCTCACTTGCAATATCTCTGAAAGTGATCTGATGTTGAAACAATATTTGTATTAAGCATGTCACGGATTGAGAATTATTTTCCATTTTGCAGGTTAGTCCTCTTAGCCAGATGGAACATATTTTGGACTGCAAAATGCGTCCTACGGCATCGAGTAACCAACCGGATTCCGATAACGTGGCACCAGAGCAAGTTGTTGTGAAACAATATCTTGTGAAGTGGAAGGGTTTATCTTACCTGCATTGCTCTTGGTAGTTCCTTCATGCTTTGATGTTATAACATGCTAATTATTATGTCCATAGTTTTGTTGTAACTCTTGTTTGCTTATTGATAACCAAGTGTTGTTTTTTTTTTCCCTTTTCTTTTAGGGTGCCAGAGAAGGTATTTGAGAAGGCGTACAAGTCCATTCGTCTGTTAAGAAAGAGGGTGACGAAATTTCACGAAAAAATGGAGATCATTCGTAACAACGGAGGCGAACATGTTGCCATTCGTCCTGAGTGGACAACGGTTAACCGGATAATTGATTGCCGGTAAAGTGATGAACATCTTTTAGTTTCCTTTGTTTATTCTTCTGTTTGATTATCTCTTTTAACGTTCTGTGTCCTGAGAATTATGCATTCTTCAAGTAGTTGTGCTTCTAACTGATATATAGATGTGAGCTGTTTTTAACTTCTTTAATTATATGAAAGAACAAAATCTGGTCCCTATATATTTTTGCTTTAATTAACCTAGGGCAATATATATCATGTTAAAATATCTAGCTTCCCATATTTTGCCCCCTTTTAAAGGCTTATCTTAATCTTAAGTCTCAACCTTGAATTTGAGTATGACACGCGGATATTCTTTGTGACCGTAAGTGTTTTTTGGTTCTGATGATGTAGGGGAGTTGATGGTGATAAGGAATATCTTGTCAAGTACAAAGAGCTTCCGTATGACGAATGCTACTGGGAGTCGGAATCAGATATCTCAACCTTCCAGAACCAAATCAGAAGGTTCAAGGAAATTAATTCTGGCCTTCGAAGAGAAAAGTATCGCCGGAATGAGAGAAGTCGAGAAGATTTTCAATATTTTGCTCATGATCCTGGATTTCTCACAGGTAATATAGACTACTTAAACTATTAATTATACTGAAAATATGAACTATAGGTTATATGAATAATTTTGCTTTGTGTTTGTGAAGGTTCCTTGCATCCATACCAGCTTGAAGGACTTAATTTCTTGCGGTATTCATGGTCGAAGAGAACGCATGTGATCCTTGCTGATGAGATGGGCCTAGGTATGTTTTCAGTGCTTATTATTGTTTTTTTCCCTTTCAATTATGTAAACAATATTACAAAGTTTGAGATTTTTGGTGTTGCAGGCAAAACAATTCAAAGCATTGCCTTTTTAGCTTCTCTTTTAGAGGAAAACCTGGCTCCGTTTTTGGTAGTTGCTCCGCTCTCAACTCTGGCAAACTGGGAAAGAGAATTTGCCACTTGGGCTCCACATATGAATGTGGTTATGTATGGTGGTAATTCCCAAGCTCGTAGTGTTATCAGAGAACATGAGTTTTATCTCCCAAAAGATCATCTATCGATCAGTGGTGGAAGCAAGCGGGACAGAATTAAGTTTGATGTCCTCCTCACATCGTATGAGATGATTAACGCAGACACAGATCATCTGAAACCAATCAAGTGGACGTGCATGGTATTTAATTCTGTATTGTTTTAATCATACTATACTCTCTCTTTTTTTTCTCTCTGTCTTTCTTTATCTCTCATATGTTTGCTTTGTACTATTTTTTCTTGGTTAGATCGTTGATGAAGGCCATCGGTTGAAGAATAAGGATTCAAAGCTGTTCTCTTCATTGAAGCAGTTTAAGAGTAAGCAGCGCATTCTTTTGACGGGAACACCACTTCAGGTTTGTTTGTTGACTTGGCTCTTTGACTTTCGCAATGTAGTGTATATTCTGCTTTTCTATTGGTATTGATCATTTGATATTTTTTTCAGAACAAGATGGATGAACTTTTCGTGCTCATGAACTTTCTTGATCCGGAGAAGGTTAGCCAAGAGATATAGCAAATAGAAAACAAGTAAATCCACTAAAAATAGCCATTAGCATACTTTAGTTTGCTTTAATTATTTTATTTTCTGATGATACTTTCAGTTTGAAAGTTTGGAGAACTTCCAAAAGGAGTTCCATGAAATCAACAAAGAGGAGCAGATTTCAAGACTCCACCGTATGCTGGCTCCGCATCTACTCAGAAGTAAAAACTAAAAAAATCTTATTAATCTGTCGAAAGTTTTAGGTCATGAATAACTTATAAGTTATAACCATATGTGTGAATCTTTCTTTGGTTGTTGTTGCAGGGAGAAAGAAAGAAGTGTTGAAGGATCTGCCTCCTAAGAAGGAGCTCATTTTGCGGGTTGATCTGAGCTCCCAGCAAAGAGAACTTTACAAAGATATTCTTACCCGAAATTATGAAAACCTGGCTAAGAAATTTGCTCCTAGAGTAAGAAACTTTTCATTTATATTTACTGTTTTGGTTCGGGAACTTTTAAAGTGTAATTGGTATATATGTTGGTAATAACTATTTCAGAGATCTAACGTGCTAATGGAGTTACGCAAAGTTTGCTTACATCCGTACATGGTTGCTCTGCCAGATATCCAAGTCGACGTTAATGAAGCTTACAAGTAACATCTCATCACAGACTCTTGACAAAGATTTAATTTCGTATAGTGTCTATGTGCTGACTTTTGCTTGAACTTTTCTTAACTGTGTAAAAGAAAACTCATGGAATCTTCTGGAAAGTTGCAACTCTTGGACAAAATGATGGTCAAACTGAACGAGCAAGGACACAGAGTTCTAATATACACACAGTTTCAGCACATGCTCGACTTGCTTGAAGACTACTGTTGTTATAAGGTAGCTTCTCATTCTTGCTTGCTGTGGAATACCACATAGGCATCTTTTATATCTTACTTGTGCCGTACGTCTTTTTTCTTTTCAGAAATGGATTTATGAACGCATCGACGGAAAGGTCGGTGGAGCTGAGAGGCAAAGGAGGATAGATCGGTTTAATGCAGTTTACTCTCACCGGTTTTGTTTTTTGCTCTCTACAAGAGCTGGGGGCTTAGGAATTAATCTGGCTACCGCGGATACAGTTATCATATATGACAGGTTTGAGTTCTAACGTCTAAGATTGAGTCTCTTTTTGTTTTTCATATAATGTTTTCTTAAAGCTAACAAACCTCTTTAGCCTGAGTTTCTTGAAATACAACGTGAATATTCAAGTAAGTTGAATGCTTTAATCAGAAGTCATTGTTGATCAAATGAAGCTTGTTGTTTTTTAGAATAAGGGAGTGTTTTTTTGGGATCTTTTAAGTTAAGAGATTGGTAGAAATAAAGTGTGGTATGTTTATTGAAATTTTCTTTTAATGCTTCTGTGTAGCGATTGGAATCCTCATTCGGATCTCCAGGCTATGGCTAGGGCTCATCGTCTCGGGCAGAAAAACAAGGTAATCTTTTCATGGCGTCAATAGGGTCTTGCAATTTCATTTGCAATTTTTTTTTTTTTTTTTTCATTGATTTAACCTATATTTTTTCGTCTTTAGGTAATGGTTTACAGGCTCATAAACCGAGATACCGTTGAAGAAGCAATGATGCAGATGGCGAAGAAGAAAATGCTTCTAGAGCATCTTGTTGTGGGGAATCTAAAGGCAAAAGACCTTACTCAGGTATATATGGTTTAATAGTTCAAAGTTACATTCTCTTACCTCGTATACTAATTTTTGTTTATATTAGATCGGAATTTAAAGGTAGTATTACCGGAAGTCGACATTAAAAAGATTGAAACGTTTGATAAGCATTATTGACTCTTTTCTTTATTTTTATGCTGTGATGATTCTTATTGCTTCAAGGTTTATTTTTATTTATTTTTAGCTAGGGTTTGCTAGCTTCAAGGTTTATTGACTCTTTTCTTTATCTGCTGCAATGTAGGATGAGTTAGATGATATCATCAAGTTTGGTTCTAAGGAGCTTTTCTCCGAAGAGAATGGTGAAGCGGCGAAGTCTGGAAAAATTAATTATGATGATGCTGCTATTGAAAAGTAATATCTATGTTCTTTTCTTATTTTCCTCTTTCCTAGTGATTTTATTTTAATAGTTCAAAGCCGCCATCGTTAATTGCATGGAATATTCATGATTTATTTCCGTCTCTCCTTCTGCAGGTTGCTTGACCGTGATCACGTAGATGCTGAGGAGGTCACAGTTGATGATGAAGAGGAAAATGACTTTTTCAAGGCTTTCAAGGTTTTCTTTCTCCCATTCTCTTTTCACTGGTGTCGAGAGAGTAATTAATGATTACATGATTTTGCGTACACATTTTTTTCTTCTACTTCAGTGAAGTTCTTATATATATTCTTTGGCATTATTTCTGCAAACATGATTCCCCACTGTAAGCTTTTTGGTGTTGTTAATTTCATGTTAGGTGGCAAATATTGAGTGTATAGAGGAAAATAATGAGGCTGCAGAGAAGAAGGCACAAGAAACAGCAAACTACTGTGTAGAAGTCGGTCCTGAAAGAGTAAAATACTGGGAAGAGTTGTTAAAAGACAAACATCAACAGCACCAAGCTAAAGAGCTTATTGCTCTTGGAAAGAGGAAAAGAAGCTGTAAGCAGGTATACACATGTCTCTCTCTCTGTCTCTCTCTACATATATATTTTTTGAATTGATTATTTGCATGGGAAGTAATCATATATACTTCTATAAATTAAGGTGTTCTTACTCTTTTTTTTTTGTTATTTCACTAGATACTTAAAGAAGACGATATTGATCTTTCTGATTTAAAAGTGAGCTCCGATGATGATGATTATGACGATGAAACAGCTGGACAGGGAAGTCAGATGCGCAGAAAGCCTTACAAAAGAAGGGTTCGCGGTAGTAATCTCTTGATAGGTATTGTTACTATGTTTCCAAATAAATTATTGAACATGACATTGGCATCATTAACTGGTTTCAAAACTTCCGAATATAAATATGTCTATTTTTGTGTGTGTGGCTGTAATTAGGTAACTCGGAGCCAATACCTTTGACAGAAGCAGGTAAACGGGAACCTCTCATTGTGCGGGGTCTTAACAAGGGTCAAAGGAAAACTTTTCTACAGACGTTCATGAGGTATATCTATATCTTCTTTCACATTTTATATAGTCTTCTAGTCAAAATAATAAACATGAACATTTTTTCACATTTTTGGCATCTGATAAACAATTTGCAGGTACGGAGTTAGCAACTATGATTGGAAGAAGTACGTTCAACACTTTAAGACGACCACATATGACCAAATAAAAGAGTACTGCCTTAATTAAGCTTCTTTTGCAAAAACTTTATCCTATATTCTTTGCAATGACCAATATTTTTTCTTTAACTATACTTATTTAATTTGTTATTTCTCAGATATGGAACTCTTTTCTTGAAGCACATTTCCGAAGATACTACTGACGATAACATTTCTCCAGCTTTTTCAGGTGAATTATAACTTATTATTTGGTAATATTCTGGTTGTTGCCATTGCTTTTTTTCTCATATCCTATTAAAGTTATTACCGGAATGATCTCTGTAGATGGACTTTACAAAGAAGGACTAAAAAAGGACGATGTACTTCTCAGAGTTGCTCTTCTCATGGAAGTAGAAGCGAAGGTAAGCCTACAGACTCAAATTCTTCTGGAACCGACACACAGTGTTGCACCATAGAGTTTTAGGTCTCTGTATCTTGTGGTTTGCTGTCAGTGTGGACGTAAACATTGATGTAATTTGGAGATAGAATATAGTTTGCTAGCTCAGCATTTAGGAAGATTTAGAATTTACCATGAAATACAGAACTAGGTAGCTAGTAGAATTTTTCCACTTTTGGTTCTGTTTGTTTGAGCTCAAATCTCATTTTTTGGTTGACAGGTGAAACGTGCGGAAGAGGAACCCACAAAACCTATTTTCCCTGACCGAATCAAGCAAAGATTCCCTGGATTAACAAGTGGAACATATTGGAAGGAGGAACATGAAAAGCTACTGTTACGTGGTGTTTACAAGTAAGAAACCCTTCAAAGAGGATCCTTTAATTTACCTTAAAAACATTTTTATCTTTGCTTGCTTCATACGTTGTTATCCTTCTCTTGAAACTTGATAGGCATGGGTTTGGAAAATGGCAAGCCATTGTTGAGGACCAAGAGATTGGGATCCTAGAGCACATCTGCAAAGAAATGAACATCACTAACATAACGTCGACTACTACTCAGACCAGAGACACGATGAGAAGACTCAGCGATTTCTTAAGAAAAAGGTTTCGGCTTCTGGAGGATGCCATAAACTACGAAAGTGCTGAAGACTACTCCCATGTAAGTATTGTCTTGTGCTTACTCTATGATTTTTTATCTTCACATGTTGGTGCAGTAGTTGTTCATCATCTCTATCGATCTTCTAGCTGTTGCAGGGACAAAATGGTTCTGCCATGCGTGCTGAACAAGCGATAACTGGAAAACAAGTGATGAATGCAGTGGGAGCGAGCGTTGTAGAGGCTGCCAAAGAACAACTTCCTAAGACTGACCGCATCAGTACGTTTTGTGATAAGTTTCTACAATAATTAGTTATAAGATTTATTCAGAGTTTTGTTCTACCAGTAAGTCCTAATCTTGCATCTTCAGAAGAAATTTGTGCAGCTGCTGTTGACAAGAGGCTAGAGAGGATTGAAGTTGCTCAACCTTACAATCAGGTAAAACGTCTTTTTCTTTTGGCGGATATAGTTATGTCAAGAACCAATATTAACTTATCTATCCCTCTCTGGACATTTTAGGTGGGCGAGAGCTCAAAAGAGAAAGCTGCTGCGCAAGATGTGCATATGGAAGACGCGGAAATTGAAGTCATTGTGTTGGATGATTGAATTGAGAGATTATGACTTATCGTTACTTTCTATCATTATCAAGATTTTCAAAAGGAACATGGATAAGGAATTGCTGTTACTTCCATTGTTATTGTCTAAACAGTTTAAACCAGTTATATTATTAGAAACCTTCAACAATATACTGAATTTTTAATATTTTCAATTTAGCAGAGACAGCAATCAGCTAAGAGCAAAAGTTAATTCACTAATCTGCTCCTTAATTCTTAGTTTAATCTTTACATGTCTTTTGCTTTAAAAAGTCTTCATGTTTGAAGATAATCTTCTTTTAAGTGAACCAAATTAATTGAGAAGAACTGCCTTTTGACTTCTCTCAAAACTCAAGACACTTATTTTTATATTTGACCTATTGATTTAATTTCTTATAGAGATCTGCATGGAGAGAAGAACATTCCCCTGACCATATCAATTAAGTTGGATTTGTCCACATGTATTTTTATAGTCTTCACTTTGGAATCGTTGGATTGAGAAGAAAAACAGCGTTATTATAACGCAGTATACATAATACATTACATTACATACATGTATAACATATTGATAATAATCAAAGTAACAAATGAAATGGGAATTACAAAAAGAGAAAAGAGGAAAAAAGAGGAGTAGCAGAAAACAGGGGAAAATGGTGGGAAAGAGGAGACAAAAGAGAAAGGCTTTATTTCCACGCTTACTCCAACTCCCAAACATATACCAACTTCTCCACGATCCTTTTCCCACTTTATACTTTTCTTTTCTACTTAATACACCCATCTTCATATCTACTATAGTACTATACACGTATGAAAGATAGTTTATTTTTCATAAGTGCCGTGTAATTGATTTGTGGGAATTATTATGCTTTTTTACAAACGAAATTAAACAGTTAAAACGTGATTAATTAAGAGTATTTCGGTATTCCTATCAAAGCACAAACCGATCGTCGGACCAAGACCAACTTAAACAAAAAAATGTGAAGACCAACATTTTTTTTTGTTAACTAGATGCACATAGAGACTTGGTGAATTTCAAGTTTTCAGTGAGAGTTTCATGTAATACAGCTGCAATCATATATCCATGCATACACGTGTTAATTGTACGCACTTTAGTCCGTACGTTACGTATATATAAGGAAATGATAGTTGGATATGTGGTAGTATATAGTACTACTGTATTATATGCATGTTTCAAAGGGACATGACAGGCTGTGATGCTCCTATAATTCAAGCTTCCTCCTTACGAATCGGGACTTTTCTTTAGTCTTTATGCGGCCGAATAATTAGAAGCAATTATTGATTAGATTCCTTTTCTCCTTAGTGTCTGGTCGGTTGGTTAAGAGATCATTTTGCGTGTTGAAAATGGTGTTACTAACTAATTATGGTTTATGGATCGACCCTACGTTTTGCCCGCATTGTAAACGTAAACGCCATAGATTAATGAAAAGAATGTTCTTCTTCCGTTTGAGTTTGACGTTTACATCTGCATCTTGCAGTAATATTATTTGAAAAACTATTTGTGTTTCAGATATGTGATTTCATTTAATTTGATTGTAGATGTTTTTTCCCACGTAATCGCAATCGCAAACACAGAAATTTACATTAAAAACAACTAGTCTATTATGAGGACTACTGAGGACAATTTAGTTGCTTTTTTATCTGCAACAATAGTGTATGTTTGACCTTTTATGTAATAAGTTCAAAATAAGGTCTTAGGGAAGTATAGCATCCCCGTGATGGAGGTCGTAGGGTTTGTATGATTGTGTACAGTCTTGTCATTTCACCGAACTTTGTTGTGCAAGACAGATCATACCTAGCTTACTACTAGCTCTTCTACTATATTTAGTATTTACACAGAATTACCGATAAAACCAAAACAATACAAATGCATACTAGACTTTCAAAACTGATACAAAATTAAATCTGAATTCTATATGTCGCTTTCATAAACTTATTGCAATAATACTGGTCGTCAATTCAGCATCTTGCTGCAGAAACATTTAAAAATTACCCTCAAAATGCTTATCGACGTTATTCTCTCACTCAATCGACGACTCTCAAGCCAATTTCGAAGTCGAAATTCCGAATATTCCAAATAAATAGATATATATGTAAACCTAATTTCTTGAACAAAAGTTTGAACGTAATGTAAAAGCCTATGCCAAAGAGCACATATAGGCTTCTTTTTTCTTTCTTTTAATATACCAGCAGCATAAAATATACACAACGGAATTGTCTTTATAATCATTGGTATTCGCATTTCAATAACCAAATGATCATAAACACCACCAATAGTAAGATAAAGATAATTAGTGTTGAACTAATCATCCGTATGCATAGAGCACTTAGACGAAAATTAGATTATTAATAAAAAATTACCCTCAAAACTATCTGAAGAGACACATAGAATGGCTCCTTGGCATATGATCAAGCCCCTCTAATTTATCTTCTCATATATATATAGGCATATGTTACACATCTTATCACATTCACTCCCACACCTACATTGTATTCATCAACTCTTATACGCAGATACAGTTATGTTAATGGCAACACATATCGATGTTATCCAAAAGCTTAATGTATATCCAAGATTTCAAAACCAAGACCAGAAGAAACTAATCACTCTCTCCAACTTGGACCGTCAATGTCCTTTACTCATGTACTTGGTTTTCTTCTACAAGAAAACCTCAACTCGTGACTTTGATTCGGTCTTCTCTGACCTGAAACTCGGGTTGGAGGAGACTCTGTCTCTCTGGTATCCCGCCGCCGGAAGGTTGGGTTTGGACGGAGGTGGCTGCAAGCTCAACCTCCGGTGTAATGGTGGCGGAGCAGTCATGGTGGAGGCGATGGCGACGGGTGTCAAGCTGTCGGAGCTTGGTGACTTGACTCAGTACAATGAGTTTTATGAGACTTTGGTTTACAAGCCTTCCTTTGATGGTGATTTCTCCGTGATGCCTCTCGTTGTTGCTCAGGTAAGTTTATCGTAAATAGTATACATTTTCTTCGTAATAATTGTGACTAATTTACCTATAAGTAAAAATATTAGTTTTTTTTTTTTCTTTTCCCCAACATATAATTAAGTGTTAGTATTTTATGTGTATAAATTAGTGTTTTTTACTTCACTAGATGTTTGATATACCGACGTAAAATAAATGTAGGTGACAAGATTTGCATGTGGAGGTTACTCAATCGGAATCGGAACAAGCCACTCACTATTTGATGGAATCTCAGCATACGAATTCCTTCATGCGTGGGCTTTCAACTCTCAAATTCACAACAAATCCAGTGGTAAGATTACTAATAAAAAGGATCATTTGGATTTGGTCATCAAACCGGTTCATGCTCGTGGAAATCTACTGTTTAACCGGGACATGGACCAGAGCCAGGACGCTATCCGAGTAACCAAGGCTGCAGCCATTTATCATCTTTACCAGCTGATCAAACAGGCCATGATGACCCATCAGGGGCAAAACCGGAATTTTGAGTCACCAGACTCTAGTTTTCTGATCAAAACCTTCGAGTTTAATGGTGAAGCGATAGAGAGCATGAAGAAGAAATCACTAGAAGGCTTCTCATGTTCCTCCTTTGAGTTTCTTGCTGCTCATTTGTGGAAGGTAAAATCAAGAAACTGATTTACTATTTTTTTTACCACTATATCCTTTTTTTATAGATGGATAATTAATTAATAAGTTGGTTTTTCTAGCGCTTATATATCAAACGAGACCAAATTCCAAAAGTAACCATTAATATTAATCGTTTATGTATTTTGCAGGCAAGAACAATGGCGTTAGGGTTGAGGAGAGACGCCATGGTTTGTTTACAATTCGCCGTGGACATAAGGAAGAGAACCGAGCCGCCGCTGCCGGAAGGATTTTCCGGCAACGCCTACGTGCTTGCCTCGGTGGCATCCACCGCCGGAGAATTACTCGAAGAACTTACAATCGAGTCAATAGTCAACAAGATTAGAGAAGCCAAGAAGTCAATTGATCAAGACTACATCAACGCTTACATGGAAGCACTAGGAGGTGGTGATCAAAGAAATGATGGGAATCTCCCTCCTATCAAAGAGCTAACCCTAATCTCCGACTGGACAAAAATGCCATTTCACAATGTGGGCTTTGGCAACCGCGGTGAGCCGGCGGATTACGTGGCACCATTGTGTCCTCCGGTGCCACAAGTTGCTTATTTCATGAAGAACCCTAAAGATGGTAAAGGAGTTCTTGTGAGGATTGGTTTGGACCCACGCGATGTTGATGATTTTTCAAATAATTTCCTTGGTTACTAATTGGGTGATGATAATTAATTAGTATAATCTTTGTTAATTACGTATCTTGTGTTAGTATATGAATATTATTATGGCTCCTCTATATGCATGCGTGTGTGCTAAAGACACTTTATTGTAATTGGATTATGATGATGTATAAATATAATCAATGACATCTCTCTCTGCTTTGTGTTTGTCGTTATCACTTTATTTCCGGCATTTCTGGATAAATAAATATTTAAGTGTTATATTATATGCATCTCTTTTTTTGTTGGTCGAAAGTTATATGCATCTATGTAGACTTTTTCCTGAGGCTGGTTGCCATTTGACACCTAGGCCAGGTTATTTAGCATATAGTACTATTATCTTGTATATGGGTCCGATTTACGATTCCGCATGGTTGATTTTAACTCATGGAGTAACTACTTTAGATTAAACCTGACCAAATTATTCCAGAATACTAACGAAATATTAGGTTCTTGTGTAGATAGTAGTGACAGATTCAGTCAATTTTTAACATGATTTAGTCGCTTATACTTAAACTTAACACTGCAAGTTTTTCTCCAGTCTCACTCTCGCGTTATCTTATCATTTTACACAATCTGTGATTGTTTGCGTTGTTGGAGAAGTAATTGCAACTTCCACGTTTCTTCTTTCTGATGTAAAACGTACCTGAAACACATATTTCTTGTTTGTTTTGTACTTTCAAGTTCCAAGTTCCAAGTTCCAACGCATGAGTTTTGTACTTTTGTTATAAAATTCATAGAGAAGACCACTCTTTAACCGCCTAAATACTTTTTTTTTACTTCTTTTTTCCATAGTTTTGCCAGCACAGATTTATGAGTAACAGTAACACAAAGACTTTGTGCTCCCTCCTCTTCAGAACATCTTTGTACTAGTAGCAAAGAAAGAGAGAATTATATAATTTTATTTATAGATTATTGCCTCCTAAGGATCTTCCTAAGTTACTAAAACAAAGTGAGGAAGTTGTAGTCCGTAAACAAGAGCTCACAGCTTCCTTACAAGAAGAGAGAATTCAAGAGAGAGAGAGAGAGACAGACAGAACCAAAGATAAGACTTTGTGTCTGGAAAAACAAAACACATATCTCATGTTCACAAAGTAAAGGGAAAAAATAAAAATTAAACAGTTTCTCATATACATGTTCTGAGTGGGCTAAACCATCCAAACCCCAAATCTCCTTCCGAGAACTCAGCTTGGCTCTCTTCCTGTTACATTCAGTGAAACAATATTCAAATCTCAAACTTAAAAGTGAAAAAATTGGGGGCAAAACTAAATGCTTTATACCTTTGTCATTATGGAGTTGACTATATCATTCAAGGAACCAGCATCTGAGGCCATGAAGCCGCTCTGTTGCTTTTGTTGTCCCATGCATAAACCTTCCTCTATACCATGCTCCCTCCTCTGTATCTCAAAACAGTTTGCTTGTGCAGCATTTGAGGATCCGAAATCTGTGTTTGTGCAGAAAGTTGTCGGATTTGTGTCAAGGTTTGAGTTGAGCAGGTTCCATTCCAAGGCGTCTGGTTTTGAATGGACATCACTCTGTGGAATGTTGGTTGACAATGCAGCGTTTGACCATTGATCTAGACGCTTGTTGATATCAAAGCGAGGAGAAAATCCAGGGTTTAAGGAGGGAGGTGATGTCTGCGGTTGACCATTGAGAAGTAAGAGATTACTAGGAGAAGCCATTAGAGAGCTTTGCTGTGAAGTTAAGCTCGGAGAAGCCATTGGCAATCCTTGAAGTATGTATCCTCCATCATTATGGTTACGAGGCAGCGATGATGAGACATTTGGGAACCTTCCTGCAAGTGAATCTAGGCGACCAAGAGTCATGTTGGAAGGATAATGTCTCATCGCTGTGGCACCATTGTGGTACTGACCGGAGCCAATTTGGCGGTGGTGGTGGTGGTGGTTGTGGTGGAAGCTGCCAAATCCTTTGAGAGAACTCATTTGCATGAAATGTGAGTCAATGGCCGCCATGTTAGCTTGTTGGTTGGCCTCATCAGTTATCTTCTTCAAGGCTACTCGGAATTTCTACAAACACCAAAAGACAATGCAATTGTGTTAATGTCAATCTTATAAACCAACATGATAAAAAAACAGAGGACTTAGTCATAGTGTTTGTCTCACCTGAAGGTGGCTTGCAACGTTCTCTCTTGTGAGCTTGTCAACATTCATCATGTCAAGAATCTTTTTTGGTACAGCTTCTGCATCGTTTTAACTTAAAAGTAAGTAATTAGATAAATTTAGGTAGAGAAAGAGAGAGATGAAGAAACATTTACCCTTAACGCCCAAATGATCAACAGCTACTAGGAATTTGTTGTGCAGCTCACGGGTCCAGACAACACGAGGCTTCTTTGGAGCCGTTGGATCATCGTTTTCGTTCCCTCTTTCTTCTTCTTCTGCCTCCTCTTCAAACTGATCTTTACGTTTTCTGTTTGCTCTCACGCCGTTATGATCAGAGTCTCCACCATATTCACCACCATTACTCACACTGCTCGTCTTCTTCTTGAGCTTGCCTTTTCTCACCACGTGTTGCCATATGTTCTTGAGCTCCTCGATTCGAACCGGTTTAAGCAGATAGTCGCAAGCACCGTGCTTGACTCCTTTCATCACATACTTTGGATCGCTATGCGCAGATAACACTGTAAGAATCAATCATCAAGTCAGGTCTAAAGATCAAGACTTTCTCTAGGAAACATGAGAATCAAGCAGGGTATGGTTCTTACTTATGACAGGTAAGTCCATTTCAAGACCAACGAGCTCAAGCAGCTTGAAACCATCCATGTCTGGCATGTCAACATCGCTAATTACGAGATCGAACCTGTTCTTGTTCTCCCTCAACAACTCCAATGCTGTTTGTGCCTGGTTCGTTGTTGTAACTGCACATATAATTACCCCCAAAGTCTCAGTCTCAGTTTTTAGCAAGAGACTAATTCAGATTCAACAAACACTTAAAAAAGTGAAAAGTAAGAACCAAGGTGTTTTGTGACACATGTGTAATATTTCCCCAAAGTCTCTGTTTTTTTTTTAAACAGAGCAAGAGACAGTCTCAAATTCAACTAACTCTAAAACAAAGTCGGTAAGAAACAATGATTTTTGTGACACTTGTGAAGCAATAAAATCTGTAGAATGGATTTTTATAGTTTCTAGTACTAATATGAGAGATTTTTTCAGAATGTAAAATGGTGAATCTAATTAAATCTTAAATGATTCCTCAAAACCCATCTTCAAAAACCTATAAATCTAGTGAATAATTATTTTATGGTGTTGACAAGAAACGAAATCTGAGGCTAAATTTCGGAGCTTAAATGGATAACCAAACCCAAACCAAAATATAAATCGGAAAAAAAAAACACATTTCCAGAAAATTTTATCAACAGAAAAAACAGAGAACAATTTGGTAAAAAAACAGAGAAAGAGAAGGAACCGTGGTATTGGCAGCGATGAAGCAAAGTTTGGAGAATTCGGAGACAAGTTTGGTCATCGTCAACGGCAAGAACTCTCATCCCCACCGGAAACTGGTCAAGTGCTTCAATATCTTGTTCCACAGTCATCTTCTGAGAGATTTTCGACAAAACACAGAGAATAAAAGTTCACGAATTTTGAAGTTAAAGAACAGCGTTAGAAACAAATAGGATTATTGGTAGACTATATAAGATCCAATGAATAATTGGGTGATTGATTAGGAGTTTAATATTGGGCAGAGAGAAAGAGACAAAAGTTTTATGAAAAGAGTAAAAAAAAAATTTGGCTCAGACGAGAAAGGAAGAGAACAAAAGAGAATCTAAGCTATATATGGTTTCTGAAAACTATGTGTGATGATCTTCATGACTTGGCTAATTAACTCATTTATGGAATTTTCTTTGGGCAAATCTTTTTCAATCTTAAAAAAAAAACATTTCTGGTTTTGTGAGTGTCTCAATTTTTTTAGTTTTTTAGTTTTTTTGTTGCCATTAGAAAACAAAAAACAATTCGGACGAGAATCTGTTAGAAAATTCAGTGGGACGATCGAGCGTGAGAACCACGCGCCTCATGGAGCGGAGTGGAGTGGAGTGGAGTGGAGTTTTCTTATTGGTTTTGGCTTCTTTTTGACTGTCTGTGGAGTATTCCGGTTTTTGTTACTTTATTACCAGATACAACTACATGCCCATTGGTCTCAAATTATTGAATTGTTTACGTGTGGATAATGATGTATGATAGAAACGGAAAGAAGGTGAAAAATAATAATTGGATGAATAAAAATGGGAAAGTATTTTACAGAGATGATTCTGTATATCATGTAATCAAGTTTTTGAGATTACGATTTGATATCATACCAAAGTATTCAAGGTAGAAAATAGAATTTAGTTGGTACCAATCATTTGAAAAATAATTGATCACTTTCCTAAATCTATCTCTTGAGATTTAAGTTTATGGGAAAAAAGGATTTATCATAGTAATTAATACATTTACAAATTATTATTGAGAAAATGACAGGCTTTAGGGAGAAGAAGCCTGGTGAAAGATTGGGAAGTGCGAGACACGCGTGAGCGTGCTTCATGGCTTTTTCCTCTGTCGTAAAAGATTTGGCAAAAAATAAGTATCCCATAATAAACAAACAACTGATGCCGATAATATTATTATCAAACATAAGACAGACTCTTTTTCAAAAAAACTACATCATGACTTGGATGACAATAGTGAATAGTACAAGCCAAAGCTATTGGATTTCGACATGTCTTTTGAGTGATATGGGTGTCACGGATTCAAGTGAGTAAAGTGACGGTCAAGAACTAGTACATCGCTAACAAGAGAGTGGGGATCATCCTGATTTATCTTTGATTCTCTATGTTCTTCGATTGAGAAAGATGTATATATGGTTCAACATGTTAACAATTTAGCAGATTCCGTGTACTGTGAAACACTGAACCGATAGAAGTCAAATTAGTCAACGCTAAAGCTAGATTAAGCACAATATTATCACCGGCCATTGTATCGTATACTCTAATTAAAGTTTGAAGTCATGAAAAATGGCCGGTGATATACATGTAGAAAAAGGTGGACTCTTTTAGTTCTATGGTGATTGTATATTGATAACCAATCACAAAACTCGATGGTAAAATGAGAATTTATTGAAGTTGGGTCCCATCCGCAATCTCAGCCTACAAGCTTGGTGGATGCAAAATAAGAATTCCAATTATTTTAGTGTAGTTTATGTGGAGTATTAGTTTTGTATTTCTCTTGATTATAACAATCATATTGTATGCTTTCTTCGATTGACCACCTAGCGTGTTCATTTCTGTGCCTCTCGTTTCCTTTTATAAATGTTAACATCCAAGTGTATATTTTCAAAGTTCAGTGTTTAGCAAAAAAAATCATCAAAGATCATTTACCCAAACTAAAACTAGTAATATCAAAGATTAATGTATTTTTTGAAAATGCTAATTTTGCTTTCTTATTGTCGAGTGACAAAAGTGTTAATAAACCTAGAATAAAACGAAAATACATCAAGATTTTACTTTTAAAAAAGAACATCAACAAATGTTCGATGCAATGCATTGGAAAATAAAAGACAACTTAGTATCCCATTTTTCGTTTAAAATAAGTTGCATATGAGATTAGAGAGATTAAACAAACGGTTTTCTAGAAGATCCATGTTATGCACCAAATCTATAAAGATTCTACTTCGTACTTATTGGAACTCACTTGTCATTACCTACTGTCATTGGCTCATAATCACATTTAAATATGAAAAAGAAGATGTCATACCAGCAATACTTTGGTGTAATGTTTAAGAACAAAAAAATAATACAAAGAGATAGATGCTGATCAAATTTAATAAACGAAAATAACTAAAGAATAAACGGAGGCGGAAAATCAAAACGAGCCTAAGCTGAGGTAATCTTGTCTCCCACAAGGGCTAACCTGAGTAGTCATCAAAATGCTTTTTGTTCGGTTGCTTCCTAATCATTTCCTACTCTATTACACTCTCTCACACTCCCTTATATTCTCCACATTTAAGGAAAACTATGGATTTGGGCTCAAGGTTCGTTGTTTATTCATCAAAGGCCCAATTCTACGTTCTGTTCTAAGACAGTATTGTTCACCTAAAAACATTATAAGCTTTCTACTTAAACTGATAACAATATATTAATCAAAACGATGATTCATTTTGCGATGAATGCATTTAGCTTTCTCAACCATTGAATGAGCTCAATCCTATCCTTATTCATCATATATTCATGCAAGAAAAAACAAAGCCCCGCATCGATTCCTCTCACTCGCAAAAACTCCCGAATCGCCGTCTGAAACTCATAATTCAAACTCCTGCAAAGAAGGCAAAGATCACAACTTTCAGTAGCTGCATCAACAAGATTCACACTACATATTAAGTGAATTTTCAAGAAAGCAGCGAAATTTGTACCCGAAATTGCGTCCCATGTAAGGCTGGCCAGTGGTTTTGCTGCCTCTAACCATGTAAAGCTTCTGAACTTCAATACGGTTAGGCCAAACGGAGCAAAGGAACTCGATGTCATCGCTTCCATCATTCTTGGAGATGTCGACAAGCAAGCTAATGTGGAGACGAACATCGCGCCCTGAAGCATCTAAACCGGTTCTCGGAACAGCCATATATCCATCAAACATTGTTGCTTCCATTTTAATGCTTTCTTCTTCTCCAAACTGCCCTCTCATCACAATGCATTGTTCTCCGGGACAATCCTCCACAGAGAACGATTTGAATTCAGTCGCCGGCTGCATCAGTTTAAGTCAAAGTTATCATCAGAAGGAAAATGAAATCAACATCTCTTCTCTTCCCATTTGATTGGATTTTGAACACACTCTAAAACTTGTATTCAACTATTCATTTCCCAAGTGACAATTACGTAAATTCCGAAGTCTAAAATTAGCCATACGAATTCGGATTTCAGCTGGAAATTCAGTTTCGGCTCTAGCTAAACGGAATCGGATTTGTACCTGGTGAGGAGGAGCATAATCGGATTGATACTCGATCTCATTTCTGATGATTCGAAGAATGTTGGACTGGAAGGGCGAGTACGCTGCGGCGATCGATGCGTAGGATCGCCGCGAAGAGAGAAGTGAAGTCGAGGTGGTGATGTCTCGTGATCGGGGAGATGGTAACGGAGATTTACAAGAAATTAGGGTTCTCGAGGGAAGAAATGGAGAATGAGAAGGAGAAATGCGTGTTTTTCGAAGAGTAAGGAGCAGAAGAGCCATGGAGGTTTTCATGTTCGCCGACATTAGGGCTCTTGAGAGAGAGAGAGGGGTTTTGCTAATTGAATTGAAATTGAATCGAATTGAACCGAATCGAAATAGCAGAGCTGAATGTGGGCTTTTTTGGGGATGTCCAATACTCGAATACAAGTAAACAGTTAATGGGCTTTTTGCGTTTTTATCTCAAACAGTTTACTACTTGTATGCCATTAACGTTGTTTGATAAATAATGTTACTCCAAATCCGATCTGTCTTAGTTATGTATTCATTGTAAATACATTGCAACATTTTTAAAAATATACTATATAATATAAGTTTACTTTGCAAGTGAGTTTACAGTCGTCACCATCAGGCGAAGTCCAAGGTAGGTAACGACCAATGCATAGATGACAGATCTAATAAATTTCATGAATCAATATATAAAAAATAGGCATTGACTTAACTCTAAAAGTCTAATTTTGGGTGTGACGAGGTTCACGCTATGCGCTTCACTAGTGAAACAACAAATAATTAATGCATTAAATAATCTCTCAAGTCTCAACATTCATTGCATGATGATATATAGAGCAAAAATCATCCTTAATTATGCATGGATCTTGCAAGACTGTAATTAACACATCATTCATAGCTGTGTGTCTCATCATGCTTGTATTGTATGCTGTTGAACCGATAATATCTATATATAGAGAGAGGGACGATACTCTTCTATCATTCAAAACAAGAAATCACCAAAACACATCTCTTTCCACTATCAAAACACTATGGATAATTCTCTCTTTTATCTACTTGTTCCAATCCTCGTATTCGTTTTGATAGCTCTTTTTAAGAAACAAAGGAAGCCAAAACATGTAAAAGCTCCTGAACCGACCGGTGCATGGCCCATCATCGGCCATCTTCACCTTCTCGGTGGCAAGGAACAGCTTCTCTACCGAACCTTAGGAGAAATGGCTGACCGTTACGGTCCGGCCATGTCGCTACGACTCGGGAGCAGTGAAGCATTCGTTGTGAGCAGTTTCGAGGTGGCTAAAGAGTGTTTTACTGTGAACGACAAAGCCTTGGCTTCTCGTCCAATGACCGCAGCCGCAAAGCACATGGGTTACAATTTTGCTGTCTTCGGGTTTGCGCCTTATAGCTCTTTCTGGCGCGAGATGCGCAAAATCGCAACCGTTGAGCTACTTTCTAACCGTCGGCTTCAAATGCTTAAGCACGTTCGTGTTTCTGAGATCTCAATGGGTAAGTAATTAAAATCCAATGTCTTAAACAGTTATGATATTTCTGTGATAGTTTTGGTATTTTTCTCTCTTACTTCGTATTTGCACTAACATGCGATATTATTATCACATGCAGGTGTGAAAGATTTGTATTCCTTGTGGGTCAAGAAAGGTGGTTCAGAACCAGTCATGGTTGATCTAAAGAGGTGGTTAGAGGACATGACACTTAACATGATCGTGAGAATGGTGGCCGGAAAAAGATACTTTGGCGGCGGCTCAGCATCTCCCGAGGACACCGAAGAGGCGAGGCAGTGTCAAAAGGCCATCGGAAAGTTCTTTCACCTCATTGGTATATTTACAGCGTCTGATGCTTTTCCAACACTAAGCTGGTTTGATCTGCAAGGACATGAAAAAGAGATGAAGAAAACGGGTAGCGAATTAGATGTGATTCTTGAAAGATGGATCGAAAACCATCGCCAACAACGAAAAGTTTCAGGAAAGAAAGAGACTGATTCAGATTTTATAGATGTTATGTTGTCGCTTGCGGAACAAGGCAAACTCTCTCATCTTCAATATGATGCAAATACTAGCATCAAATCTACCTGTCTGGTATAACTTTAACCATCCAAATCTTGATTAGATGATATTTATTAATTTTGTCTCTTCTAATGTATATGATGATACACATTTGAATGATCAGGCACTGATTCTTGGAGGGAGTGACACTACGGCTTCAACCCTCACATGGGCCATTGCTCTTCTTCTAAACAACAAAGACATGTTAGTGAAAGTGCAAGATGAGTTAGACCTCCACGTTGGGAAAGACAGGAATGTGGAAGATTCGGACATAGAAAACCTGGTGTATCTTCAAGCCATCATCAAAGAAACATTGAGATTGTATCCAGCTGGTCCTCTCTTAGGCCCTCGAGAGGCGATGGAAGATTGCACAGTCGCAGGTTACCACGTTCCTTGCGGCACAAGATTGATAGTGAATGTATGGAAATTACAAAGAGATCCAAAAGTTTGGATAGAACCAAACGAGTTTAGGCCAGAGAGGTTTCTCACAGGAGAAGCAAAGGAGTTTGATGTTAGAGGAAAAAACTTTGAGCTGATCCCGTTTGGTTCGGGAAGAAGATCATGCCCAGGCTCTTCCTTGGCTTTGCAAGTGCTTCATCTAGGTCTTGCTCGTTTTCTCAATTCGTTTGAAGTGAATACGGTTTTGGATATGCCTGTTGATATGAGTGAGAGTCCTGGCTTGACAATTCCAAAAGCCACGCCTCTTGAAGTTCTAATCAATCCACGTCTTGCGAAACACCTTTTTGTGTGATATGTATAACTGTTTGAGCTAAACATACGACTTCAATAACATTATTGAAGGTGCTTTTGATGTTTTTCGTTTTAATAAAACCTGTCTGTCTTTGTTATTTTCCTTTCTGAAATAAATGTATGTTGTTGTATGCAAGAATCAACTGTGTTTGTTTTTCTATTATTCCCCCCCCAAAAAAATTTGACTACCATATGTCAAAATTTGAAAACTTCTACCAAAAATACTGTATATTAAAATTATAATCCTCCCAATTCATATTTTAAATTTATATATACATTTATAACGCAAAATAAAACATAATCACAAATGTCAAGGTACTATTTTAAAATTACAACTCTATCAAAAATGACAAAACTACCATAATCACAAATGTCAAAATACTATTGGTAGAAACGGAAGAAAACCAATCGTATATATATTAATTGCATTTTCTGGAAAACCACGAGAGGGGAAATAAACTGACGAAGACGAAGACGAACCCTTACAAATTCGAGTCTTCGCAATTCCGGATCGGATCCTTCTAATTTCACGTCAAACACCCCATTCTCTGTTTCTCAAAGCTCACGATCGTTTTCTCCTTCTTTTTGGCGATGCATTGAGGCGTAAAAAAGATATGTTTTGCAGAAACGTCTCGGTAAGGCGGAAGAAGAAATCTGGCTCTGTCCCGGTTTATCTCAATGTCTACGATCTCACCCCAATGAATGTATACGGTTACTGGCTCGGAATCGGAATCTATCACTCTGGTCTCGAAGGTAAATTTTTTTCCCTATGATCTTCGTTTTTCCCCCAATTCTGGGTTTGGTTGCTCTTGGGTTGCCCAGAAACATTAGTCAAAATCGAAAGAAATCCTTCGTCAATTTGGTTGCATTCCACACATTGAGCTGAGAAAGATGATTATTCCCTTTTATATACAAAAAAAAATCCTGCTTGATTTCTAAGAAAATGATGAAGGATCCGACGATTTAGGATTTGGGTTTATTAGACTAAGTGGTGAAGTTTGCTTATAAAGATGAAAAGGATTTTGATACAGTGGAACTTACTTTTTGATCCTCCCGGGAATTTGACTTTAAAAAGTGTTTTTTATGTTGATGATAAACTCTGCTTTTGTTGAGATGATATAAACACAATGTAGTATTTTTGTTGCTGTTATTTGCTTGGTTTGAACAATGAATGTAAATCAAGAACTCATTTTTTCTTTATTGGTGTTTGGTTATGCCATTTGTGTGTAGTGCATGGGGTTGAATATGGATACGGGGCACACGAGCAACCAAGCTCTGGAATTTTCGAAGTGGAGCCGAAGAAGTGTCCTGGTTTCACCTTCAGGAAATCGATTCTCGTTGGTGAAACAGAGATGAAGGCGAAAGAAGTTCGAAGCTTTATGTTGAAACTAGCAGAAGAGTTTCAGGGAAACAAGTATCACCTCATCACAAGGAACTGCAACCATTTCTGCAACCAAGTCTGCTTAAAACTAACTCAGAACGCAATCCCTAACTGGGTCAATCGTCTTGCTCGATTAGGTAACTCAAACTTTCCCTCATCGATACAAATTATGATTCAGGAGATGATAAAAAAATAAATGTGCATTGGTTTGTTTATGAAAACTGTTAGGTTTCCTATGCAACTGTGTGTTGCCTGCTAGCTTGAACGAGACGAAAGTGAAGCGGGTGGGGAAAGATGGGAAGCTTTTGGAAGCAGAAGAGAGTAGTAATAATAAGAAGAAGGCGAGAAGCCGATCAGGTCCTTTAGCTGCATCTTCGTGTTCTCTGAATTCGAGATTAGATAATAAGAAAGCTTCACATGTCAGATCAAGATCAACAGGTAATTTTCCTCCTTGTTCTTCTTCTTCTAACTCTTGTCCTTTGAGAAAAGAAAGACCTCGACTTCCTCCTATTGCATCTGGAGGAGAGCAAGAGCAGAAGAATCCAAGCGTAAGCTTCAAGACATGATTCTTTGCCATTGTTTGAAGTTTGAACAGCTAATTATACTTGTATATGAATGTGACGGTGCTTGTGCTTTTATTCACAAGTTATTTATCCTCAATCCATTTTTAACTTGGCATAGTTTGTTCATAGCAGAATCATGAATATCTTCAAGAATTCTACATTTCTTTTGTATGTTTTGATGTAACTTTTTGAAAGAAAAGCTGTACAAATTACTGGTTAGAATGTCATCAAATCCAATAAAAGTAACAACAATAACTATCGACTTACTTGTGTATGGATACGACATACGAGGTGAAGAGTGTTTTAACACTGGCCAATCACATATACATCTCACATTCTTCGTTTACGGGTGGACATAGCCAGGTGAAAGGAGTTTTGTTGTGATGGGTTTAGTCAACAAAAGTACTTTACTTTGGTTTAATGGGCCTTGGACCCAAAATCATATGACCCTATAAATTCATGACATCTCCCGCAGCTACAACAAAATCCTGAAAACCCTAGTTCCCAGTTTCTCTTAAAGCTCATTCATCATCACTCTGTTTGTACAATCCTTTCTCTTTTGCCTTCAGAATAGCCGACATTTATTTTACCTATTTTTTTACTTTTTACATTCTTGTTATGGATTTTGCATTTGATTTATTATAATACGATTCATGTGAATGCTTCTTCTTGCTTTGCTATGATGTTTTGGTTATTTCTCAGAACTGATTTTGAAGGGTTTTGTTTTTCTATTTGAAGCGTGAAGGAAATCCCTATGATGACTATTATGATTAAAAATGTTAAAAGTAGTGACTGATCTTGATGAAACTTTCAGCTCTGAGGGATTTCAACTGTTATTTTGTTATGCTCTGTTTTTCGCTTTCCTTGTTAGTCTGTTTGTGACATACAGCACACATGCGTGCATTTTAGCTAGATCCCAGTGATGATGATTAATAAAAAAAATGTTAAAAGTAGTGACTGATTACATTTTGACGAAAAATCAATTCTGAGGGATTTAGTTATTATTTTCCATTGTTTTCTTTTATATTTCATCCTTTGATATATTGGTTGTTTTGCTGGGTTAGTTATTCAATGAGACGCCTTAGTTGTGACATTGTAGTACTGACTGATATAATATGAATCGTTAAAACTGAAAAGAACCAGCGCCAGACTTCAAGATAACTGCAATCATGAAAATTAAGCATCACAAAGAAAATGAACCAGAACACTAATCAGATTCATTACTCTCAAGTCTCAACTGTCTAGACAAACATGGTTCATTTTAAGAACTTCAGTAGAGCCTCCATGTCTGCGCGTTTTTGCGTCAAGTGCTTCAGCTCTTGCTCAATTTCTTGAATCCGAGTCTCACCAGCTTCTTTCAGTTTCTTCTCCAACCAGTCCAGCTCAAACCCCGATGCTGTCACATACCTCAGCGAGGAATATGCGTCAGCCAGATCACCAGTGGAGAGTTTCTTTGGGGACTTGCATAGAATCTCAAACAGGCTTAGTAGGACATTCAAGTATGTTGTCCTCAGATGCGGATTCTGTAGACGGAATTTTGATGCAACGTTTGGGTATTCTTGAAACAAACTGTTTACAGCTTTTTACCTGCAATTTTTTTTTAAAAAGAAGACGTATGTAGTTTTAGGAGCATAGAGAAACAAACACACAACATATATGCAGCCTGTGTAATATATACAAGTGTTTTTTGCTTACCTGTGACGCAAGTACTTGAAACCCATTGATATCCACCACACTTTCCGTAGTTTCCAATGATACATCTAACATGCCAATGACTTGAAGAACATCAATCTCTGCTACAATCTTGACTTCACCGTTAACCATAAACCTATGAAGGTCGTAAACACGAATCATGGATGGAAAACCACCGACCTTGTTTTTCCCATCAAACCAGTGTTGTGTTTCTGAAAATTAACAAAACAGATTTGATTACAATTTGAAATAAAGCATGACTTGAGCTCTACTCAAGCGGATTGAACAACTTGAAAGGGACCTAGAGATTGAATAATCACCTCGCAGCTGGGAGGCTTCTTCCGGATTTTTATTTACAAGAGTAAAAGAAAACTTAGCGTGTCTTCTCCATCCAGAAGGCAAAGATTCAGTATTAGCAACAACCACATACAGAGAACAATGAAGGTTATTCTTATCAATTCCCTTTGGATAGGCGAGAAGACGCCTGCAAGCAAAAAACCATAGAAAGCAGTACATGTCAATGTATCATTTGTAGCGACTGACCACGAATATAACAGTTGGATATTCTTACCATTTGCAGCGTCCGGCAACGAATACATCGGAATAAACTGCCTCATACCCCAAAGAGGAAAAATTCTTTATCACCCAACTGAACTTTTTATCGGCTTGATTCCCCATTGATCTTGATGATCACTCCCTAAAAACTCAAATTTTGTTACTCGAACAATTAAAAAAGAGATACCAAGAAACAAAACCAAGATAAAGACTAAGGATCTTAAGCATTTAGTATTTACCCCTCAGAGAAACGGACAATGTACTCATCAAACAATGCAGCCACAGCTTTATAGACGTCCAAGTCTAAAGACGAGAGGAATGCGAATCGCTTCGACTTCCACAGCTTTAATTTTGTTTTACGATATTTTTGGAAAAGTAAAATATTTTAATAGCCAATTTGCTAAAGATTGTAAAATGGGCCTTGGGCCAACCAAAACGATATTGGAAGCTTGAAGACGAGAGGAATGCGGATCGCTTCGACTCCCTTGTACCTCATAGGCTGATAGTATACTTTTTTCTTCATTTTGATTTACGATATTTTCTAACGGTAAGGACTCATTTTTGCTCAAAATTATAAAATGGGCCTTGGGCCGAACCAAAATCATATATATGAATAGGGCCGACCCTCTCCATATTTGTGACACCTGGACACAGTAATTATTGACACATGGTTTTTTTTTTTTTTAACAATTTGCGTTAAAAAATAAAACAACTTTTGGTCTTCTTCTTTCACGACTCTTCCCATTTCCTGCAAAAACGTACTCACCTCGCTTTTAAACGCCAAACCTGAAATCAATTCTCCATTTTCATTCTTTCTTCGCCATTGCGAAATATTGGCGATGTAGAACAGAGAAGAATCTTCTGGTTCTTCAAAACAACAAACAAACGGTAACGACCACCACGAAACGACATAAATCAAAACCCGACCAGTCTCTCATATTCCTTCTTCTCCTCGAAAAGCTTTTTCTAACCACGATTTCTTCAAGGTAAGAATTTTAAAAACAAATATGGGGTCAAGATTCGATTTTCATTTCCTCAGTCGAAACGCTTCTTTTCTAAAATCTCAGGTGAAAGTATGCCTTCGAGAAGCTGATCACATAATTGACACTACATAAAGTCAATCGTAACCAAGGTATATTCGAATTTTACACCTAATCCGTGGAAAACTTCTCTTAGATTCTAAGATACGGTGCTCAAATAAACCTCAATAACATTGGTCTAAAATTTTCGAATTCATTTTCAGCTCCCAATCAAGAAGCTTTTGATTGATAACAACGTTCCGCCTATGTATGCCCTTTTCCTACCATTTATCTTCTTCTACTTTTAACGATGAAATCCACATAATTTTTTATGCGGTTGTAAACAATTTGCTTCGTCTCTCTTTTCAGGTGTGCCGATTAGGAATCCCGTTTGCTTATACTCCATTGGAGGCATTATTATTGTTTTCCTGTGACCTACATTCAGTGTTTCTGAAGTTAATTTTTATTTGAATTATCAGATGAAACATCTATGGGTTTCTTAGTTATGGATCGACTTGTTGGTTTCTGAAGGCATTCGCAAACAGGTACAGGGAGAAGGATAGGGCGATTGGTGGATCTTCTCTATACAAATTGAAGGGAAAATTGATTAAGATTTTCTTACATGTTATTTTTTTTTTCGTTGCTCTTTGTGTTTGATCTTTACAAATGGGTTTTGCGTCCCATGGAGATTTCTTAGGTCTTTATGCTCTAGGAGTTTGTTTATCACCTAGAGTTTAATTAGCTTGCAATATTTGTCTCTTCAGGATCACACTTGCTGGACGTAACAAAACGTAGGCGTTTTGGTTCTCGTAGGCCCATCCTATATTTCAAAGAATTGTTATCTACGAGAGATTATTTTGCTTCTTCTGTGCACACTCGCTTAACTTCAAGTTTTAGCACGTGAATTTTTTTAGGCTTCGTTTGTTAATTTCGGTGGAATTTGTGTATTATGTGCTTCATTGATCCAGTGCTTAAGAATCATTGGGAATTTTTTTGGTTTATAAGAGTAATGGTCATCAGTATCTATGTAACTATGTTGCAATAAAATGGTCATCAGTTATAGGCATCAGAAACATAACCGAGCAATGTCTACTTAGGAATAATTGTATGGTTTTATGTTTTAATCATTAGTTTGTAACGAGATTTTTTCCCCATTGCTGCAATAAAATGTAAACGGTTAATAAAATTGGTCATATAGATTATATTATCCTAATATAAAAGTTCAAACTGAAAAAGTACAATAATAAATAATTGCAGTACTTTAAAAAAAAGGAGGATGAATGGAAATGTGGAAAACAAGTATATAACTAAAATTTGGTATATAAATCTATGGTATATACAGATAGTTTACAATTTTAGCAGAAACTAAAAACATCTTACTAACATAATGGTTTTTTTTTTTAAATGAAAAAAGCCCGATCTGGACAAGTACAAAAGAAAAAATGATAAAAACCCAAAATTAAATCATATAAATAAAAATGTAATTAATTTAAAATGTTAGGAAACAAAAATTATATTCCTCTGTTCCTTATTACATGATGTTTGAGATATTGTTTTTCTTCCTTATTATTTGATGTTTGAGATTTGTATGGTTTTTTTTTTCAATTAATGCTACTTTTTACAAATTTCAAAAAATTAACTAAAACTAATTAAATACTTGAATTACTATTGATTATTACTATTAAAAAAGTAGTCGGTGTAAAAAGAAAAATTATTAATAATAAAATATTAAATAATTCTTAATAAATGTGAAAAAACTGAAACAACAAATATAGGGGAACAGAGAAATTATAGAAAAACTCTCACATAAATCAAATAAATAACAATGTAATTAATTAATTGTTAGGAAACAAAATATATATATAGAAAAACCCGCGCGTTTGCGCGGGCATTGGTCTAGTAATATTTGAATTTTGAAGCTTTAAAAGAGTTTTCTTGTTGTTGTAGCTCAGGTTGGCTTAGGTTGCAAGGCTGGCTTGTTGGTGGTCTTGATAAGCAAAGTATTGTTTTCCTTTCATAAGCCATTCCGTAGGATCGCCGCCGTCAAACTTTGGGAGATCGAGCTTTTACATGTCGATGGCTTACAGGGGTGTGATTCTATAATAGAGAGCGGAAGAAACAGAAACTTGAATTAAAGCACAAAGTAAAGACAAAATACTTATGTTTACAAGAAGCAAATGGAGTCGTAGCTCCTTAACAATCAGAAGAAACGGGAAAGTGTGAGATTGGTTTCCTTAACAATAGGATGACCAACTGAAAAAGGAAATTACATAACTAAACAAAGCATGAAATGGAATAAGCCAGGTACTTCTGGTGACATTGTATTTGTTTTGGTAACTGCCTTTAAGCATGTGGCTGATACGAGAAGCCATTGACAGTGAGACCTCCATCGACGCAAATGGTCTGACCAGTTATATAAGAAGCTGCAGGCATACAAAGAAATGCCACCATCGATGCCACCTCCTCCGGTTTCCCTAAGCGCCCAAGGGGCTTTCTTGAGCTCATCCCGTTCCTAAATCCATCGTCAAACGCCTAGACATGATAATCATATGGTTATGGATGCATATAGTCAAGATATCATCAAAATCAAAATAGAGAACAATTCGAGGAATAGCATAGGATGTTACATCATCAACTAGAGGAGTAGCAATTAGTCCAGGAGCCACAGCATTAACCCTTATGTTGTCGTTCGCCCACTCGCATGCCAAACTCCTGGCTAGCTGATTCATCGCCCCTATGTATACATACACACGCTAACATGTGTTAAGGCCTTTATTATTTTATTTATGTTGACCTTTACATTTCTATATAGTGTATATGGTTGTTCATATGACCAAAACTTTATGTATGGCTGTAATTTTAATTTTATTATTTTTATATATTTGTAATCTAGATATCCGTGAGTATCAGCAAATCCATACTTGGTAGCTATTTCGAGAATCCAAAAAAACTAAGAGTATATACATGTACGTCCAGCTCTGGGGTAGAGATGTGGTTTTGTTTCCTCTAGTGTGCATGCATGATGCATGTACCTTTTGTGGCACTGTAGGCGGAGCTGATGCTAAGCGACACGACCCCAGCCATAGAGGATATTATCACAATCTTCCCACATCCTGAAGGCTTGAGCATAGGATGTGCAAGCTGGCTAAAATGGTACGCAGACTCCAAGTTGGTCGAAATGTGGAACGAGAAATCATCCGCTGTATGTTCTAGTGTTGGCTTTGACCGGATTGCACCAACGTTGTTTATCTAAAATCAAGAATATACAAACCGAGACATGAATCAGCCGAAAGTTTTTTCTTGCACAACAAGGTACTATTCAATTGATAAAACTATAAAAGGATGGAGATTCTTTACGAGGATACTGAGCTTGGCATCGAACAACGAGGACACTGTTTGCATGAGCTTCTCTCTCTCGGTCCAGGACGATGCGTCACAGACCGAACCACTGACTTGAAATCCTTTCTTTTTCCATTCACTTAAACACTCGTTGAGGTGAGATTCGTCTCGAGCACACGTATGTACTGTTACTCCAAAACCTGCAAGTTCCTCCACTATAGCATGCCTAAAATTTTCAAGAATCACATTAAAAAGAGTCCAGTCACTAGTGTTATGTATAGATATAGAAAGAGGGTTTACGAACCCAATGCCTTTGGTTCCACCAGTGACAAGTGCGGTCTTGCCTTGAAGGCTCCATCTACGGCTTTGATCTTCTCCGGCCATTTCCCTCAAGTTGAAGTGAATGATGTTACGAGAATAGTTGCTGTGGTTGTTTAATCATCTCCTACCACTGAATATAAAGGTTAAAAAATATGGGACTGCTCCACCACAGATATGAAATATCTCCGATTTTGAGGAGTCAATTCGTCCATGAGTCATAGTCTCTTTATACAAAGGGCTCAATATCTAACGTTGGACATTGAGCTAGAAGATAACTCGGACACGCCTGTTTTTGTCCGTGAGTTTAAGAAGGCAAGTGGATGAACATGTCTGCCATACAATATGATGATTTTCATTGTTTTCTATTTTTTCATATATAAGATTATCCTTGCTACATACGCGTGATTTTCATACGGCTTTGACTCCTTGTAGCTCATAGGCTGACAGTATATATCCTTTTTTTCTTAAGTTTTGTTTGCGATATTTTTGTAAAATGGGCCTTGGCCCGAAATAAAATGAGATTTAAAGCCTTAACAGATAAAAGGCCCAGTGATGACTTGAATTAGGGTTTCCTGTTTTATAAGTTAAAAAGGTTGGTCGCCTCTTCTTCTCACTTTTGCTTCGCTCCGCAGCTGCTAATCGGACGATTTCAAGATGGTAAGCTTCCTCTCCCTCAAAATTTCTTCTGTTTATCAATTTTACGCTTGTGTCGCCTGTTTGAATCGAAATGAACATTTTGATGTTGGTTAGAAATTAAACGCAATTTACTGATTTTGATCTCTGTTGTTTTGCGAACAAAATGAAATGAAACAGCCGTCGCACAAGTCGTTTATGATCAAGAAGAAGCTGGCGAAGAAGATGAGGCAGAACAGGCCTATTCCTCACTGGATTCGTCTCCGTACCGACAACACCATCAGGTTTGACAATCTTAGTTTTTCTCTCCCTAGTATAAGAACATCTAGTTGTCTAGTGTACCTGGATCGATTAGGACAGTATTAGCGAATGAGTTCCGAAACCCTAAATGTTTCGTGTTTTACTGATTTCGATATTGTTGTGATTTGGTTTCGTCAGGTACAATGCTAAGCGCAGGCACTGGCGTAGAACCAAGCTCGGATTCTAAGTGATGAAAGAGTGTTCTATCTGTTGCGTTTAGCTTTTCCTCAAGTTTTTATGGATTTAAGTTTATGACATTTTCGCTTTTCTGTAAGACTTTTCTCTCAAATTTTCTATCTATAAGATTTGTTACTTGATGGCATTTGTGTGATCAATTGTCTATTCTTGGTTTTGCTAGTCTACTTCTGGAAATTTTTAGTGCTTGAAAAAGTGTGTTCCTAATAAGCTCCTCCTCCATAGTATTTCTTGGTTGTTGTGTATTGTGATTAGTCTCTGCTTATTAATCTAGGTGATATGAGAATAACAACACCAAACAATATCAAATCAAATGCTTCATCGACAAAATGTCATTGTGAAATTATTGCAAATACAATCGTACTAAGAGGATTAAGTATCAATGTAATTTTCTTCTATAACTCGATGGGAGTCTCCCAATACAACAACGCCTGTGAATACGATCAAATCAAAACGTTCCTCGACAAAATGTTTAGCGAATAGCGATCGTTCTATTAGCTAGCTTATTAATATAGCCATCTTTCAATCAAAGATCAAGTAGGTAGCTAAAAAGGGTATACATATAAATTTTAGTTTCTTATTGTCATGTTACTGAGATGATGCTTAGCTTACGTTGTGATACGAGTCGATGATGGCATCAGCAAGATACTCGCATTTCGCCAGAGACAAGCCGGCCAACGATATCCTCCCGTCTTTGGTCATGTACACATGCCACTTGTCCGTCATGTTATCACTCTGCTCGTTACCAAAAACAAAACACGAACTTCAAGACCTTAAGTCTCAACTAAGCCAAAGATATGAATTAAAGAAGTATTCACATTTTGAGCATATACCTGAGCTTTGTTGAGGCCGGTGAAGGAGAACATGCCAATTTGCTTCAGAATGAATGACCAGTCTTTCCCGCTCTTGTCTTTCGAAACGAGGCTGTCGTACAACTTTTGTCTTACTGTCTTTATCCTTCCTGCCATCATTTCCATCTCTGCTTTCCACTCACCAAACATAGTTGCATCGCCAACGACATTAGCCACGATTTTCGCCCCATGAACTGGTGGGTTTGAGTACATAGGTCTAGCAATCCTTTTCAACTGACTCTTAACCCTGCAAGAAAAGTTTCCATAAACTCTGTAGCTAAATGTTGTTCTTGACAGTAAAAGGTCAAAAACTGTTAGTTTATTAACCTTGTAGCAGCATCAGCTGATGAGCAAACGACATTGATTGCACCAATCCTTTCAGCGTAAAGACCCAAATTCTTACTATACGACTGAGCAACGAAAAACTCCATTCCACGTTCAGCAAACAGTCTCACAGATGCTGCATCTTCGTCAAGGCTTCCACTAGCAAATCCCTGGAATAATAGGTCTAATAAGTCTAATATAGGCATGTAACATCTAGTAAGTCTGATATAAATCCGGTTAAATTACCATGATAACTGTAGGAAACTGGGTGATAATTACCTGGTACGCAACGTCGAAAAACGGGATATGGTTCTTTTCTTGAATGACATCAGCAATCTTCACCCACTGTTCTGGAGTTGGGTCAATGCCGGTTGGGTTGTGAGCACATCCGTGTAGCAAAATGAAAGATCCTTCTGGAGCTTCCTGTACAAAATTTCCGTACCATGAATGACAAAAAAAAAAACAGTTTGTTGATGGTGCATATATATAAAAGGCAATGCCTGAATAAAATTCGAAAGATAAACAAACCTTTATATCTGCTATCATTCCCTCAAAATCCAAACCAATCGTTTTTGGATCATAGTAACGGTACTCAGACCACGGAACTTTGGCATCGTTGAAGATGTTCTTGTGATTACCTGAAGTTGTAGTTTGTCAGTGGATATAATAAAGCGAAATAAACAAATATTTGTGGTCAAGAGTCAAGGCAATGTACCCCATGTTGGTGCTGATATGAGAACTTTTGCTCCATTAAAGTATCTCTCTATAAGAGCCGCTGCTAGTCGCAGTGAACCTGTTCCGGAGAGACCCTGAATTGTTGCCACCTGGTGATGCAGAGCCAAGAAAATGATAAATTCACTCTCAGGTACAGGAACATCAAGAGAAAACATTCAGTGACATGAAGACAAGATCCAGAGTCCAGACATACTTTTTGTTCCTTAATGACAGGATGACCAGCTCCAAATAACAACTCAGCAGTGGCCTTGTTGAATGCCGCCAAACCCTCAATTGGGAGATACTGCAGTTTTCATCCAAAGTTAAATAAGTTTTAAGTTTCAACTAATTGCTTGTAGACATTTTCAAGTAAACTATTTTTTACCTCTTTGTTATCTCCTCTCTCCAACATCAAATTTTCAGCCTATACAAGAAATATATCAGGACATTAAGAAAGGGTTTTGATGAATTAGGAAACGAATATGATGAGCTAACGATAATGATAGCTTTCCAACCTTTTTAACGACATTAAGCACATAAGGCTGGAGCTCCTCAGTTCGATAAGCTCCGACGCCGAGGTTGAGCTTAAGCTCGTTGGTATCTGCTTTGAATGCTTCGCTGACTCCAAGAATAGGGTCTGGTGGAGCCATTGTTATTCCCTCGAAACGAGAAGGCTTCACTGCAACCGTCATGGTCACGCGGCCACGTGACTGTAACCAAACTCAATTATCTCAGATACGCTAATACAGATTTACAAGCTACACTTATCAAACGCCATTCAGATTATTCAAATGGTTCAGGTTTGAGCAATTAATAAAGTAAAGACAATGTACCTTTGCTTTCAGGAACGGGTTCGAACCTGAATTCCCAAGCTTAAGCTTGTCCTGTTTAAGTCCAAACGAAGAAAAAAGAGAGCATGATGGTAAATAAACCCGATGCAGGATCATTTTGCTCCACAGAAAATTGGTAAGACCTTAAGGGTAATTTTATAAACTGAAATCTTCCTCGGCTCTGCTCTTATTAAGGCGATTATGAACAAATAATTACTTTTGCCGGTCAATTTAATACAATTAAATCGATAGAGCAAGAACAGAGAGAAAAGCAACAAAGAAGTACCTTGTTAATCTCGCGCGGTAGCAGAGAAGTAGAACCGAGAGAAAGCATTGACGAAGCCATGGAATCGCAACGGCACTAAAAAAATCTCCACAGATCTCAAATCAGTGAACAAGTGCGAGGATAAGCAAATTCCGATGATTGTGGCGATGATCCACGGAAGATAATCAACAAAAAAAAAGTTTCGATCAGAGATTCTGAGGATATTACCGAGCTGATATATTCACCTGGGCTTCTTCAGAATTGAGCGGTTTCGAAACGATCAGATCGAGATTGGAGAAAGAGAATCGACAGAAGACAAGTCTAGTGTCGGACGATATGTACGAAGTGTTCTAAGCTTGTCTTGAGGAGGGTAAAATGGTCATTGGGTAATGTTCAAAAATCTATAGGCCTACATCAAAAGTACCATAAGTGGATTTTCTGGATGTGGTGGTCGGACGACGACGACGTATGGATAAAGACTTTCTTACAATTCAAAGCTTCTTTGCTAAAAATGCAACAATTAAAAACACTTTTATAAAACAGAATCGTATAACATGTATATAAGAATTAAGAAATTTACAAATACAATGTAACTAGAAGTGACTAACCCCAGAAAATCTTAAGCAATCAGATCAAATGGCCTATATATATATATTGAAAAAAAAAAAAAAAGCGACAACTATTGGCTTTTTAAGACGACGATGGTGCTAACCGGAGAGTCCCTCCAAGCTCTACCGGGACCAGTGGAACAAGTGAGTGAAGAACATCGGTTATCAACGGTCTGTAACTTGGTTCTGGCTGTACACAAAGCACTGCCACTGCTGCTACCTGAACAATTCATTTCCGGTTTCATTTACAATTCAACAAAAGAAGAAGCAGAACAAAAAGAGACACAAACCTGATACAAGTGCTTATGATCCATAGTATCTTTGATAACCGGATCCACGATTTTAGGAAGCTTCGATCTATCCGTAAGTTGAGGCATTGCCTACAAAAATTTACAAATCGGTACAGGCATTAACCATTCTGTTCATGTACCTACTTAAAGGCACTAACATAACCGGACTTACCCAAGTGACAAGAGATTGGCACTGAACCGAACTCAATTTCTCAACCGGCCGTTTTCCTAGCAAGAGCTCAAGTAGAACCACTCCGAAAGCATAAACATCACTTTTATCCGTCAACTTTCCTGAGCAACATAAACATGTTTCAGTATGATAATCTCTGTTTTAACGACTCGTTAATCACTGCCTCTAGTGACAGTCAAATAATGTTTCCATGTGATCAGTTGAAATAAAACATCATAATGATTTGATTTTTGATAACATTTTCAGACGTAACACAAGAGAAATTTAATGTAATGGGTGTTAGAGGAGAAATTAGCACATTTCCCTGAGCCCGTCATCATTAGTAAAGTTACAAAGCCCAATCCGATTTTAGGCCTAACATCTTCAAGAAAAAGGCAAGACTTGAAGAGAAAGGCACAATCCATGGAGAAATGTAAATAAATCTTCATGCCGACTTAAGAATGGAAAAGATCCAAAAACAAGAGGGAATTTTCCATATCGCAAAAGAGGAAGTTTTCCATCTCGCCTGAAGGAGAATATTCATCATTCGGCCGACTTATCAACACTATATATTGAAGACCCCCCATTGGAGAAAGGCATCCGAAATCATCTAGAATCACTAGGCTCTCACATTAGCTTTTACTCTATCCTCTTGTTCACCACCATAATCTCGCTAGGCTTGTTAGCGAGATTGCTCTCTTGTAATCTTCTTGATAATCTAAGAGTCGAATTAAGCGTTCCAGTTTCCTAAACTCACATCTTAGATAGCCCGTCTTGACGAGTGCTAACTTTATGATAATTATAACTATGGGCTACAAATGTAAGACACGATAGTTAACCAGAAACCACCAAAAATAAATGGAAACGTGAATGCTTTACCATCTAAGAGATATTCTGGAGCAACGTAACCAAGTGTCCCAGATAGTTTAATGTTGTTCTTGCCGTGCACCCCACCCGTTACCGCAAGACCGAAATCCGAAATCTGAAAGGTTGTATCGTTAGAGATGGGAACAAGTCCGGTTAGCTTTTGATTTGGTTTGATCCAAGTTTCTGGTTTAGTCTATTATTAATTTATTATACAAACTCAGAACAGAATCATTTTCAGTGACTAAAGTTAACTATACCTTGGCGTTAAAGGAAGAATCAAGGAGAATATTTGACGATTTTATATCTCTGTGGATAACCGGAGGACGACAACGCTCATGAAGATACTCCACACCTCTGTTTTCAAAAGAAAAAGACGGTTTACTCAAACCGAGATTAAAGTTAAACCAATTGAGAAAACAGAAAGAGAGGCTTGTTAAATGTGGGCTCTTGATTGTACCTTGCTGTGTCAAGAGCAATCTTCATCCGCATGTGCCATGTTAAAGCCGATCCCCGAGAAGGTCCTTAACCATTAAATGATGCATAACAATAATTTTTTTATCATAATATATGGAACAGAGATTATTTATTTCATGTGCTCACATGATCTGTTTTATCTACTTCTGTCTATAACAAGATCTTGAGAAGGTTAACATGTTATTTTTACCGTGTAACTGGGCTTCCAAAGATCCGTTTTCCATCATCTCGTAGACGATAAAACTCGAGCTAATTTCACTTGTGTATCCCAATAATGTGATGATGTTAGGGTGGTGAATCTTGCTCAACACATCAACTTCGTTCTGAGATGTCAAAATGATAGAATCAGAATCACTGATTACTTGAAACTACTAGGGAACTTGATTTTGTTACCTGAAACTCTCGTTTTGCTTCTTGACTAACGTTTTCGATTTTTTTAACCGCTGCTAGAGTGTGACTGCTTAAACAGGCCTTGTAAACAAATCCGAATCCGCCTCTTCCTATAAGATTACTGTCTTTGAAACCGCTTGTCACTTTCTCTAGTGTCTTGTAATCGAAAGACTGCACAAAACCCTTCTTGGATGTTGAAATCCCACTCTCAGCGCCTTACACGTAAAAACAATTTCGATATCAAAACAGAGAAAACACAAAGAATAATAATAGAAACTTTGAAACTATAGAACTGAGGTAAAAAAAAGAATTTACTTGAGTTCTTGGTGGTTTTGGGAGATGTCTTGGACCGATAAATCCAAAAGCATAAACAAGACAGAATTATTAGTCCTAGAGAAGAGGAACTGATGATGAGAGCGATTAGAAGTTTCTTGTGTGCATCTAACTTGTGTTCTTGGCCTCTACCCATTTGGATTCCTGAGATCAGAAAGCAAATAAAGAAACCTTCTTGAGATTTCTCTTCATTTCATCTTCTCATTGGTGGGACTTCGAGTGATTCTGAATCAAACCCATTTCTCGATTTCCCAAACGGATCTAGACTAAAAAAGTATTTTACTTGCAAGCCAACTGAATAACTGATAAGAGTATACGTAGAAGATAGGCAATCCACTCAAAAATAGCATTTACGTATCAAATTTACATTGGTTTTCGAAATTTAAGTTAAAAACTCAGATCAAGTCAAACTTTTTAATCATCATTAATGATCGAAAAACCACACGTAATCCAAAACCAAAACCATTAGTAGAAAAGAAACAGAACCAGTATTGAGAGAGAGAGATACCTGGAGAGAAGGAAGCCATGGAAGTGTAAATGGGAGAGACAGAAGGCTGTGAAGCAGGTGAATGAAGTGAAGCAGAAACACTAATGAGGAATTGAATAACAGAGACTTTGAGAAGAAGAAGATGAAGAATCTTTCTCATTTGCCTTGCAATACTTTCGACTTGATTCACTCTCCTGAATTTTCAGATTCTGAACTTGAAGGAGATATAGATTTACGAAGAGCGAAAGAGATTTCTCTTCGAATCTTTATCTCTCCCTCTAATGGAGATCGCTTTAATTTCGTTTCCCTTTTTCCTGTCTACATAAAGGAGGGAACGAGAAAGTGGTTTTTTTAAAGTCGAAATCATTCTCTATCATCAAATCAACATGTGGGTTTGAATGCGTGATAGTGAACAGAATTTTATATTCTTACAATCTTACTAATCAAAATAATTCAAACTGATCCATGTAAGAATTAGTTAACTTTTTTTGTATATCTTAAAACAATTTAGTATGAAACCAAGAATTACCAAGTTGTTAGTACTGATCATGTACGCCTCCTAATATCTACAAAGTTTTATTAACAGTAGATTTAGAATGGTCACACAACCTTTTGAATGAAAGTCAAAATATGTCTTTGTAGGTTGAAGAGTTTACTCGCCAGACACAACAACGAAAGTTGACTAGTTATGTCAAACCGACAGAAATTAGATGAATTTCCGTCCCTTTTTTCAATTATTGGTATTTTATAAAATGATAGAAAGAAAACTCAGTTTTGTCCTCTTCTTTGTTTTCCATAGAAATAATTTCACTGGGAGTAAAAAGATTCTTATTCAATGAAGATGCATATGCGTACAGATAAACAGACACTCTTACACTTTTAAGAAAATGAACAGCAGTGAACATAAAGTAATAGCAAAACTAAACACAACGGCGGTTGTCGAAGCAGCAATTTTGCATATGTTAGAATGTGTGTGATCAAAGTGAAAGTGTTCTCTCTTATTTTAATGTTTTTGAGATAAACTGAAATGATAAATGTTTTTCTTTGGCAGACAGGGTATACTTAAAAACAAACTGAAAGAACTAATACAACTAAAAGAATTTCACATGCGAAAGCCGAAAGGCAACCATTAGACTAATATGGCAAATAACATGATGCAACATATATGGGAGTGTAAATGTCTGAATGCTCTATTTGAGAAATATCCGCATGTGACAGAATTTCATTTGGCTAATCTCGTTGACTTTGAAGGACATGTGAAAATAAATAGAGAACAACCAAAAAAAAACTAAAAAGAGGACGAGAAGTTGAAACCTTTTGGTATTAACTAATTGAATTCGATGTAAATCCAAAATGCTAGTTTCTAGAGTTGTTTGGAGTTATAGTCATATAGGAACAGCTTTTAAAATAGTCCTTTTCATGTATTAAAACGTTTGTATGTATGCATACCACATTCGATTTTACTACAGTTAATTCGTACATCATTACAAACTTGTTTTCCTTTTTTAAAAAAAAAAACTTGTTTTCCTTTAAACAAAAATAATCATACCTTTTATTTTGGTTTTAAAACTTAAAATGTAAGACTAATTAGTAGTTGAAAAGGGTTTTTGTGTGATAATTTGGTTCATCAACATAATTTTACATCTTTAAGGATACACGTACTTATGAGTTGTAATGATTGTAACAATGAATGTGCATGCATTTATGCACAAAATTGACAGTAGAACAAGGGAGGAATGAGGTAGTTATTAAAAAGAAAGGACCAATCTATGTCTAGTCTCAGTGAAACCTAACCATAATTAATTAAAAGGCACTAGCTTCTTTTTTTTTTTGACCTCAACTAAAGGCATTAGCTATCTACCGGATAAGACCTTTAACGGTTCAAAATCAAATCTTATGCAGTTATTTCCATTTGAAAAACTATATGCAATTATGCATGCATGGTAGCTAAGTCATCAGTTGAGCTTGAAACGGGCCCATCAATCAATCTTCCATCCATTATCTGGGCTACATTTTATAACCTTTTGAGCTGCAAACCAAAACCAAAGTGGCAGAAAGAACGTGCCAACGTTGCAGAGACCAGAGAGCATTCTGAAACCATGAACCACATATTCTTTGTATGCCAATTGAACAAATAGGAAAGGCTGAGTTTTAACTTTTGAGGGGTGTGTTTATGATGAGATGGGGACCCACACCGCTGCATCAAATGAATGAGAGATCAATTTTATTAACTGGGTCACACTTGTAAATAAATCAATTTTAAAAACAAAATATGATAATATTTTATATTTATAATGTTTTACTTATGTTTTACATATATTTTTCTTATATTTCACATATATATTTCTTATAATTTGCTTATGTTATACTACTTTTTGTAAAACAAAATAGTAAACCATTTATTTCAGTTATAATTACATTATCACCTATTTTCGGACTAAAAATTTATTATGCAAATTGGGCAATTGTTGTGCCATTAAGCTAAACATTCTGAATGAAATGCGTGGCCGCAAACAATTGGATTGGCTCAAACCTATCTTGACAGATTACGCAATTCACTTCTTATGTAAGAAATGGAAGCTTGATACTATTATTGATGGTAGATTCAGTCGACGGACAAAGAATATCTTCAGTTTAAAGACAATTACACAGTAAAGCAATGCACATTTCGAATGAAGTCGTCGTGGGTACCTCTCTCAGCCCTAGAAAACCACTTCATTTGAATAGAAAATATGCTTCAAAATATAAATAATTACTTTGGTCGACTACTTCTTTCATATGTTGTTGTCTTTTACCTATTCCCAACCCAAATATTCTAATAGTTTTTTTATATTATTTATACATTGATCTATCCACCTTAAAAAAATTTAATGGAGATAAACCACAGTTATCTGTCCATTTCGTTCAAATAAATTGGCCAACTTAAGATGTTCGGAATATATGATGTTTAATTAAAATCACAACCAAATACGGTTTTAATACATCGAATAAACAGAGGACATGTAATCGACAAGTACATAAATATGATAAGTTGTCGTCATGCTCTCGTTTAATTGCTGCTCCTACAAGTAATAATGTAAAAGTAAAACCAATGTACATGATGATTTTGTGGTGTATTAAATATGTACACGATGCATCTGATCAAATGCTTGTCCATGTGACCATGTCACATACTCACATATAATGTTTTTGATTGCATCACTTGGAATATGGCGTTAATAATTATGCATTCATTAAAAAAAAATTGTTTACCATTAGAATACGACGGTCAATGCCGGATTGCCGGGCCATTATCTAATTATCGCATGTCGTTCCACAAACATGAAACATGTTCGATCGCACTTATATACGAACCTCTTACGATTTACAAAAGTCGTTTCTTTGCGTTACGACCTTTAATTAAAAAAAAATATATTCTTCTTGTCAACGCTTATTTGTTCTTTTTGGCCGTTTTTTAATCGATTTGTCAATGTTTAAGAATATTATAGAAAAAAAAATCATTTGACTCGACATTTGTACTTGATCGTTAGTATTATTATCATCAAAATCCAAGTGTTATTGTTTTATTTGCTTAATTGTAAATTAACAATTTTCTCATTCTTACTAGGACATGAAATAAACTTTGGCTAACGTTCACGAATACATATAAAATAACATAAATGGATAGTGTATGAGTAAAGTTTACTCAAAGGTCGTCGTCTCTGTTTCGACCTGACCGAAAAGGTTTGCTTCCAGATTTATATACGTCTATGCCTCTCATCCAACGATTCTTATTTGATTTCTTTAAACGGCTACGATTTTGAGGAATCTAGTTCTAGGTCTGCTGACGGCAGCAATATTAGTAGATGACGTCAGCAGCTTATATTGGAAAAAGAAAAGTTCATCTTTGTTTTCATTAAAAATCTCATCTAACGGCTCCGATTTGTTTCCATCTCAATCCAAGGGTTGTGGTTTCTCTTTCATGACAACCCTTGTTAATGGAGATTCATCCTTGTTCCATCACCAACTTCTTTTCTTTTTTCGAATATATCGAAAGACTCCATTACAACTTATGTCATTTGTAAATCCTCTGCAAAAAATTTATCTTCATCTCCCTCTCAGATCTCTCGGTTGAATTAGCTCAAGTATTTTGCTGTTCGAGACTCGAGAGACGACTTTGACTTGTTCGAGCTTCACTTCTCCGTCACAGTTTTATATTCATTCCGATCGAATCCAATCTCTACAGACTACACCAAGGTCAGAGATTATCTAACTCTTTAGGTGATTATGCTCTGATTAGTTTAACTTGTTAGATTGGTGATTCAATTGTTGCATGGTTTTTGTTCAAAGACCGTAGATTTCGGAATTGAACCATTACATAACTTCTCAACTCTCTTCTTACGTTCTAACTTTGCTTCTCTTTCATTGAAATGTCGTTGAACCATTTATATAGATTTGCCGCGCCGTCTCTGATTATGAATTTGGTTTTTCTTTTTCATATTGATGATCGATGGGTTTTGGGGGTCAATGTAGATTGAATTAGTTTTTTCCCTTCAGAACTGAAAAATCCGTGGTTTTTGGGTCAACGATCTCGCTCCCAAGTTTAAACTATAAATATTTTAAGAAACAGTGATACTTGTCCGAATTTTTTCAAGTACCCTGTCCGAATGTTTTAATTTTATTTCCCAGTTGCAGCAAAATATAGTTGTCCTCCACCAACAAACAAACCTGCATACATATTTTGTTAAGATATTACACTAAATTACTTGTTTATTAATGTAGCTATGACATTCTTCATCAACGCTATGCAATTTTGCGGATTATTTAGCTGTTTAATAGTGCCTTAGTTATGGAATTGTTGTTAGCCTACTAATACTCATATAGGTGATGGATCGTTACCTTCTCAACTGAATGGTTTTTGAGAAGTGGTCTAATTGTCTATAAGGGTTGCAGTTATTTTTGTCTATCATCTCTTTTCACAGTCTGACACTTTATTCTCATTATCACTATTGTAGACCTTTTGGAGGTGAGGACTTGCATTTTATCACAGTGACGCATTTGTTCAAGAGGTTTCACTTTGCAATCCTAAGCTTCCATCTCCACTGCACCATCAAGAATTTTCACTCCAGCACATCACCTTCTTTCAACGATTAGAATTTGTCTGGTTGAAAACTGAGGAGATGGAAGTGAGTCGTTGTTTCTCCTTTTCAGACAAGTTTCTTCGGAAGGTGCATAGATTCTCGTTCTCTCGTGAATTTTTGTTGCCTCCCTTATGATGCAACTGTATCTTAGAATGCCAATATAAGTTTTCCTGTTGTCCTTAATCATTCATCAGGTTGTAACATATTCTTCATAACTTAGCTATATGTTTATTTGTATTCAGCCTTTCTAAAGAAGGAGCCAGTTGAGTAGAGTTTCCCAACAAATATTTGACATCTTCTTCTTCTTCTTCCTTCTCCGGTTAGTGTTTTAACTTTTCTGATACCAATTATTTTTCTTAAACATTGCATTTATCTAAATGTATGCCTTTATTGTAGAGGAAGTTTTGCGTTGACATCGTGCGGAGAATAGGAAAAGACTCTACCTTAATCTGATTCTATTGACAGCTGAATTGAGCAGCTTACTTGGTCAATTATGGAAACAACAAAGGTTTGCATGAACGCACAATGCGGAGCAGCTTCAACATCTGGAGAGTGGAAGAGAGGCTGGCCAATGCGATCCGGCGAATTAGCCTCTCTCTGCGATAAGTGCGGGTAAGCACCTAAGCACCTTCACTAGGTTGTCTACTCTTAGAACACGAGAGAGGATGCTGAGGAATGTTGTGAATTTTGGTTTTTGATAGGTCTGCATACGAGCAATCCATTTTCTGCCAAGTGTTCCACGCTGAGGAATCTGGTTGGAGGGAGTGTAATTCATGTGACAAGGTGAAGAACCATAGCTTACACGTTTCTTGCTCTCACAATATATTCCTGCTGCTGTTTCTTGATACGTATTTGTGTGTTTCTCAGCGTCTTCACTGTGGATGCATTGCGTCCAGATTTATGATGGAGCTTCTTGATAATGGCGGCGTTACTTGTATAAGCTGCGCCAAGAAATCCGGACTATTTTCTGTAAGACTATCTTCTCTCTTTGAATCAACTTCTTGTCATTGTCTTGGATTCTTTGTGACTGTGCTCCTATCATCTCTCTTTACAGATGAATCTCGGCCACGAATCCAACGGTAGGGAATTCCCCACATTTGCTTCAGCAGAGCACGTAGGCAGTTTTCTTGAGAGGACAAATCTCAAGCACTTGCTTCACTTTCAAAGAAACGGACCTTCTCATCAATCTTTCCTCCAAATGAAACAAGAAGAGTCTCTGCTTCCTGCAAGACTCGATGCTCTTAGACAAAAACCTGAAAAGAAAGAATACCAGGAGCTATCCGCACAGCCAAACTTGAGCATTTCGCTTGGACCTACGCTTATGACAAGTCCGTTTCACGATGCTGTCGTTGATGACAGAAGCAAGACAACTCCGGTTTTCCAGCTGGCCCCTCGGTCCAGACAACTCCTTCCAAAACCTGCAAGTTCAGCTCCCACTGCTGCTCCCATGGAGCCTAATGGGAGCATGGTCTCGCAGATTCTTGTCGCTCGTCCTCCTCCAGAAGGTCGCGGGAAGACGCAGTTGCTTCCCCGTTACTGGCCTAGGATTACTGACCAGGAGCTGCAACAACTATCTGGACAGTATCCTCATCTGTATGTTCATAACATCGTCTTTATGTTTCTTATTATAAATTTGTTATTCACTATTGTTTCTATGCTAATAAGGACTCCTTAACTGTTTATTCTCCAAAGCTCCAATTCCAAAATCATACCACTCTTTGAGAAAGTTCTGAGTGCAAGCGATGCGGGTCGTATAGGGAGACTGGTTCTTCCAAAAGCATGTGCAGAGGTAACTTGTTTCTCTCTGTACTCTCGTTTGATATTCCCAAACTGTAGCTATCTAAATGCGTGGTATGTGTAGGCATATTTTCCACCTATCTCTCAACCGGAGGGCCTCCCGCTAAAGATACAAGACATAAAAGGGAAAGAATGGGTGTTCCAGTTCAGGTTTTGGCCTAATAATAACAGTAGGATGTACGTTTTGGAGGGTGTGACTCCTTGCATACAGTCCATGCAGTTGCAAGCTGGTGACACTGGTACTTTTCATACCCTTTTGCTTCATTAAATACACTCATAGTCATAGCATGTTTATGGAACGATTACATCAAACATTGGCATTAAAACGTCTTGGATATATTCATGTTCTTTGCAGTAACGTTCAGCCGCACGGAACCTGAAGGAAAACTCGTAATGGGATACCGTAAAGCGACAAACTCTACAGCAGCACAGGTAAAAAAAGCATGGCAAATTCATGTTGAGCTGATTTAAAGAACACCAGAAATGCATAAGCAGAGAGTTAACCCTTTAGGACTAAGAAACTGCCATTGTGAATTAAAGGATTGCTTTCTTGTGCTCTCTCATAATTATGTTTTCAGTGAAAGAATATGTTTTTGTGTGGCTTCTTCAGATGTTCAAGGGAAGCAGTGAACCCAATCTGAACATGTTTTCCAACAACTTGAGTCCGGGATGTGGTGACATCAACTGGTCTAAACTTGAGAAGTCCGAGGACATGGCAAAGGATAACTTATTGCTTCAGCCGTCACTGATTTCAGCCAGGAAACGTGTTCGGAACATTGGCTCTAAGAGCAAGCGACTGCTCATGGACAGCGTAGATGTTCTTGAACTGAGACTAACTTGGGAGGAGACACAGGAGCTTCTCCGGCCGCCTCAATCCGTCAAACCGAGCATCTGTACGGTAGAAGATCACGAGTTTGAAGAATATGATGTGAGTTGCTCTTTACCTTTTCACTAGCTGGACCTTTGCACTGTGTTTTCTGAAGTTGTGTACTTGCTGCTACGCAGGAACCACCAGTTTTTGGGAAGAGGACTGTTTTTGTGTCACGTCAAACAGGGTGAGGCCTCATGTACTATGTAATGATAAGAATTTGAAGTAATGAACATCTTATTATCTGGTTCTGAGATGTGATCCTCAGGGAACAAGAGCAATGGGTTCAGTGTGATGCTTGTGGGAAATGGCGACGGCTGCCTGTGGATACTCTTCTTCCACCAAAGTGGTTGTGCTCCGATAATCTCTTGGATCCTGCCAGGTAAACGAAACTGCATGCTCATGTGCTTAAAACCTATTACCACCACAGAACATTGCACATTTTTCTTCAGAAGTAACTGATACTACACACTATACACTTACGGAGTTGCTGTTGGTATTGTCAGGTCTTCATGTTCTGCTCCTGATGAACTCTCCCCAAGAGAACAGGATACGCTTGTCCGGCTGAGCAAAGGTATGATCCTCGACTGTTTTGTAAGAAACTTCCTTACATAGACACTGACGTTACGTTTGCGCAGAGTTCAAGAGGAGGAGACTGGCGTCATCAAACGAAAAGTTAAGCCAGGAGCAGGAGGGATCAGCTCTGGATACTCTAGCAAATGCAGCCACAGGTGGACAAGGGGAGACGGTGGTTGCAGCCACGACCAAGCACCCAAGACACAGGGCAGGGTGTTCGTGCATCGTCTGCAGCCAGCCGCCGAGTGGGAAAGGCAAACACAAGCCAACATGCACTTGCACTGTGTGCGAGGCGGTGAAGAGACGGTTCAAGACGCTGATGATGCGGAAGCGGAACAGGAGTGAAGCAGGGCAGGCAAGCCAGCAGGCGCAGTCAGAGAGCAGAGACGAGACAGAAGTGGAGAGCATTCCAGTGGTTGAACCAGCCGCGGCAGGAGGGGGAAGCATCGACTTAAACACAGACCCGGGGGCTTCTCGAGTCAGCATGATGAGACTTCTCCAAGCTGCAACTTTTCCTCTGGAGGCTTACCTGAAACAAAAGGCTGTTCCCAATACAGCAGCAGCAGAACAGCAAAGCAGTGATATGGTAAGCACAGAGCAGGGTGGTTCGTCCTCAGCTGCACAAGAACATGACAGAGACACGAACGGAGCTCCTGAGCCTCTAAATTAACTAACCACACCCTTTGGAATCCTCCATGAGTGTATTTATTTGTCAAGGATTGAAGAAATGAGGAATTTATTGTTTCCTTCTTTCTTTCTTTTTTTTCTTAGTGTTTTTGTTTTTGGTGTGGTGAGTGGCTTGAGAGAGACAAAAAGATGGGAATCTTGATGAGGTTTTTGGAAATACATAGGACAACCAACACAATCCTTGGCGATTGTAATGTGTGTATATATACGGGTCAGATATAAAGACAAACATGATCTGTCTGGATCCTTATTTATACCGAAACCAAAGGTGACACAAAAGCTTTTTTATGAGCTCTTCTTTGTTGAAGAGAGGTCAAACAAGAAGACTTGCCAGTTTTCGATCTATCGACTCCGTACCTATATGAAACAAGAATAGTCTGCTTCTTGGTTATGTTGCAAAGAAGAATCTATTTGTACTTTATCAACAGAAAAAGTACCTGTAAAAAAGAAAAAAGAGGTATCCATTTTTCTCCTTGCCTCCAAGGAATAATTCCTTTGCCTTTAATTTGCCTTTAACCAGGAAGTGCGCGTGTCAGAGCTGTTTCCCAACTTCTTTGTACATAAGCTTAACGATTCACGAATTGAATAACACTATAGATATTAAGAATTTATGAGATTTGTTATTGTAACACAAAGTTGGATTAAGTTTAGGATTCCGTAGCCAACGGTTTTGTCCGGGTCTAAAATATGTATTTCTTTCGGTTACTTACTCGGTTTAAATCCAACCGAAATCACCAACCAATCCCCCCTATCTTTTAAAAAATCATGGATAGGCCCCCAAAGAAGTAAATAATTAAAATAAGAGCAATAGCACTTTTAAAAAATTATTATTTTGGGCCGGCAATAAGTTGAGCTGGCTCAATTGACTAGTTCCCGAAATCACTCGCACAATTTCACGCCTTTCCTATCGCCAGATTACACGTGTCTTTTTCCCATTGATTAACGTGTCCTCCAACACGTGGACTCTGCTTTGTTTCTCCTCTAAATTGATAAAAATCTACCTCTTGTTGTTTATGATATTAATAACTTCCATATACGTCCCCAACCCTTCAAAAATCCCAATTCCTTTGTTATGTTCTAATCTCATTTCCTTTTCTTTTACGTTTAATTTATGAACACATACATATTTTTTAAAATACACAAAAAGATCACGACACGAAGTACTAGTGTAGTAGTAATTCAAAGTCTTCCCTAATAAAAAGACTAATCGCGTGGTCAAAGAAGTTGGACGAGTGGGTGTGGCAATAGAGTAAATAGATTGAAATAAGAAGGGCGAGTTTTAAGGGATGTGTTAATCATGGAGGGGAGAGAAAAAAAAAAAAGATGAGATAGGTGGAGAGCCTGAGAGTGGGACCCACAAACGCGCAAGAGTAACAGGTTAGGTCGGCTCGTTCGTCGTGGGTTCCTCTCTCAACCCTAATCGAAACCACTTCATTTCTCACGCGCCTCTCTCGCATTAAAAGTTGAAATAGAGAAATATATAATTAATAATTATTATTTTGGTCGACCACTTCTTTCAAATGTCATTGTCTTTTTACCTATTCCCAACGCAAATATTTATAATTGCTTCTTAAGCATTTCAATTATATAAATTCTCGATCCACATAAAAATATCCAAATATCATTTTCAGTGGGACAGTCATCGACATATATTATGGTTGTGAATGAAATCATCAAATCGGAACGGATACGTATCGGTGCAGTGAAAAATTACCCACTCGTACATTTGTTATCTTTGCATATGTTGCTGCTTCACAAACATGTTTGACCACAATTAACGTCTGAGCTTCTTACATTTTAGGAAACTTATATCTAAAGGTTTATCAAGATCTTGTAATGATATATACTTTTTTCTTTGTTCTTTCTTCCTTTTAGCAATTTAATCGGTTTGCATATAAGAGTCTTCAATCTCTTGCATGCTAATCCAAAACGAGATTTGTATTTGATTGAAAACACCACTAATCCACCATCATATATCCAATGTATAATAGTTTTTTTTAACTTTTATCATAGCTGTGTATAACGTTGTTATTCTTTCTAATATGTAATAATCCTTTTAAGTGCGAATTTGCGTTTAGAAATATACAATTATGGAATATGGATGCATAGTGTAAGAATAAAGCAAAGTTTACTAAAAAGGAAGGTGAGAGATATGTAATTAATCTCTAATATATATTAAAAGAGAAAACATTAACTAAATAACCTTTGTCCATTATGTTATTAACAAGAGTGTCCCTGTTCATGTGTCATCACTAGGTTCACTCGCAGCCTAATTTCTAATTAAGACAAGCGTTACTAGAGAAATTACAAATTGTGCCATTGCATATTATGTTTACCATCCATTTATTATTATTTTATTTCCTTAATTGACAATTACGAAAATAAGTAAATAAGGAAGATATGAAATTCAATTGAATTCTATCATAATATTTTTTAAAAATCATTATATATCCCCTATCATCTTTGTTCAACTTTATTTTATGAAATAATACGAATCACAATATAAAAAAACTAATAAAGAAAATCTAATTTTTTTTCTGTATATGCTATGATTTGAATTTTTAAAACAAAATAATGTAAATTGTTTAGTATATAACCTCATTTAGTGTAACAATTATTATCTATTTCAATTTCAATTTATAATTTGAATTATATTTTTGTTTTTGTTTTTTTTTTCAACTAATATTATATTTTTGTTATTTTAACAATTTAGATCATGCATATTGTCTTCTTATTGGTTGAATTGTTTTGAAATTATAATAAAGCATGTTTTAGTTTTGAAAGAAAGAAAAAAATAGTTCTAATCCATGTTTTAGTTTTGAAAAAAGAAAAAAAAATTGATTTTAATCCGTGTTTTAGTTTTAAAAGAAAGAAAAAATAATAATTATAATCTGTGCACACAGCTAAGACTTCTTATTTTATGAAATACAGTATACATTTTTGTAAAGAATAATGTTTTATTTTCACTTTTTTGTTCTTTAAACTAACTTATTATACTGTAGTCATTTGAGTTTCATGTATCTTGCTTAAATCTATCATATTTAATATATGGCTACGTTCAAGACTTTAATCTATTTACCTTTTTAAAAAATAGTTTAAAATGCTTAATTTTCATATTATAAACGAATAAACGAGGGCAATAATCTAACAAAGATTAAAAATCCGTCACATAAAATTTTGGATATTTAAATAGACATCTTTTAATAAATTACCAAAAAAAACATCTTTTAATTAAAATATAAATTCAGAAACCATCACACCGTGCAGGACACGGGTCAAACCCTAATTAATGTATGATAATGAAAGCCACAAATACGCACTTAAAAGGATTAAAAGGATTTTTTGATTTGATACGGTCGGGCAATTACGCATTATTGATAGCACAATACTAACCTTTAAACTAAGAAAACAATCCACGATAAATCTTGTTATGTTATGTTTTACATAAACAATAACATTTGGTACGGTATATCAAAAGGCAAATATCCCTTGCCGAGATTGATGAATCATAATTTTCTTTAAGAAAAGGAAAATAAAAAAAGTAAAAAAGAAAAAGAAAAAGACAAAAAGGCAAACAACTTAGCGCGTGGGCTTCATGGTTAAGAAACGAGAGTAGGTTAAGAAACCGTCTTTAGGCTGTTGTGTGCAATATCCTGGCCATCGTGTATAAAACCACCGTTCGTCGTCTCCATCCTCCACCACATGTATCCACCACCTTCCTCTAAATTATCTCTCCTGTTCTTCAATTTCATCAATTTTCTCGAGAATCCTCCTCCCTCTCTCAGCGATTTTCGTTAATCGAACCCGCCTCCTCTGTAACTATGGGCGTCGCCGTTCTAAATCCCCAGGACTGTTTGAAACAAAATTTCCCTCACATGAAATATCCTCGTAATCCTACCTCATGCCCTAACAGGCAGAAAAAGCCGGTCACCAACCGCACGCGCCGGAGCCCTCCGCGCAATCAGGCTTCCCGATCTCCTCCCGTAGCGCCGCCGCTTCCTCCTCATCGCGCTACCTTCTCTGCTTTCGTTTCAAAGGGAACGGCGAAGAAGAGTCCCAACAACGGCGTCGTCGCTGGTCAGTTTAGACTCCTGAAACGAGGCGAGGCAATCCCTAAGAAGACCTCCGATCTTGTTGTTGAGGCAATCCCTAAGAAAGCCTCCGATCTGGTTGTTGAGGCAATCCCTAAGAAAGCCTCCGATCTGATTGTTGAGGCAATCCATAAGGAGACCTCCGATCTGATTGTCGAGGCAATCGCAGATCTGGTTGTGGAAAAGCCAGATCT